GAAACGGAAAGAAACAACATGTGTATGTATATATGTAAGAATAGTGAAGGTAGTTATATCACTGATCTCTCCGAGTTCCGAAGAGAAAGATTTGTGCTGGTATTGTTCGGACAAAATGAAGGCAGCTGTCTTGTGCTCTGGGTGAAGGATTTGAAGGTGACAATGCACAACATATGTACCATTTTTGTCCCAATTGATATGTTTTGAAACTTTGTTCCATTTTAAAAAAATTTTTTATCTTTGAAAATGGATTTTGGAAAAAAGGAGGGTAGCCAAGCATGGTGGTGCATGCCAATAATCCCAGAACTTGGGAGGCTGAGGCAGGAGGATCACGGTGAGTTTGCGACCAGGCTGGGCTACACAGTTCAAGGCTGGCCTGAACTATAGCCTAGCCTGTCTTGAAAAGAAAGAAAAGAAAAAGCAAGGGGTAAAGGAGATACTGGCTCTGCAGAGCAAAGCTGAGCCAAAGAAAAGAGAGGGAAGGATAAAAGCAAAAAGTACGCCTGGTCTAGAAGACACGGAGCAGGATACCATGAAGAGTCACAGCGGCGGGCTCCTTGTGGCCTCCCATCCCCTTTATGCTGTCTACATCTTGGTGAACCTGCGAGGAGTTCCATATATGGGGCCGTGAGAATTACCTGGTGCTGTCTGGGTCTTCTTGTTTGCGTTTTGAGACAGGGTCTTACTATGTAGCTCAGGCTGGTCTCTAACTTGCAGAGATTCTCCTGCTTCAGCCTCCTGAGTACTGGAAGTACAGGTATGCACCACCATGCCTGGCCAACGGCTGTTAAATTCACCTTTTGGGGAAAAACAATTCTTATTCTGAGAAGAAAAAAAAATGTTGCAAAGGGTTTCTTCCCAAAGGAAAGGTAAAATTCCATCCTGAAGGCCTCTGGAAGAATGAAGGTAAAACCAGTGACACCGCTGCTGGCATTATTGTCACTGTGGGAGGAGTGGCATCCCAGGCGGCTCTGGGGTGCTGCGTGTTAGACCTGAGTCACCGTGGGCCCAGGAAGGCGCTGAGGAAGGGTGTCAGGCCAGAGCCAGGAGCAGCTCTCCCAGTGGAGTCCCACAGGGCGACAGGCAGCACGGCATGTCCCTGTGTCACAGTACTTGTCCCCTGCAAAATCTGGGTGTTAAGGAGGATGGCACGTGGGGTCTTCCCTGTCAAGAGGTCCTGAGCGGACTCCTGGGTCAGAGGCTGGCTGTGTGGCAAGTGTTACCATCTTCTGTGCAGTGCAGTAACGATGCTGATGCTCTGGCCTTCGAGCTTGGACAGATGAGGCCCCGAGCTGTCCACGCCCAGCAGACTCTGTGTCAGCTGTGCTCACTTCTCGATGCCTTGGTCTCCCCACGGCTTCAGGAGACACTGTCCCTGAACACCTGGCGGGAGCTAAGGTGGCTGGGAAGCAGGGGAGGGGACTGTGCCCCATCAGGCCCTTCCAAGAGGCAGCCACATGCAGCACAGAGCAGATGGCCACCCTTGGGGCTTTGCAGGGAAAGTCATGGAGACAAGGGGGGAGCCCTGTCACTCCACACCCCTGCCACCATCTGTCCCCACACTCCCCCTGCCCACTCAGCAGTGCCCGCCTGGGTCTCTGCACGACCACCTTGAGGCCAGTGTGCAACGTGTCCTCACCTTCATTTCCTGTAAGAATTTCTGTTCTACATACGAGGCTAAAAAACATAACAAACAAAACACTTAAAAAAGATTCCGGGGCCAGGGATTTGGCTCAGTGGAATAAGCGCATACCTGTCAAGCACGAGGTCATGAGTTCAATCCCTGGTACCAAACAAGTAAGTAAAAAAGGCAGATTCCGTAGTTTCAACCATAGGGAAAAGCACCGCCACGCATCCCTCCAGCCGGGAAGGCACGCCAGCCGGAGCACTGCCGCCGGGGAGTTTCCTGTTCCTAATCACAGAGAAGAGAGGTTGCTGCTTGGCATGGTGGTGCATGCCTGCAATCCCAGCCTCAGGAGGCTGAGGCAGGAGGATTGCTCAAGTTCGAGGCTAACCTGAGCTATACGGTGAGTTCCAGGCCAGCCAGGACTACAGCCAGACCCTGTCTCAGAGACAGACAAAAAAAAAGTCCCCAACAGGTCCTGTTCATGATGAAACTTTGTATTTCTTTACAAATAATCTACTCTCCCTCAAGCCAAGTATCTCCCCACTGGATGCCAGCAACTCTTTAAACCAGGGAGACAGTCTTACGGAATCTTTCCAGCTTTTTGGTACTGGGGATCAAACTCACCCCCTCAAACTTGCTGGGCAAGCAATAGCACCGCTGAGCTCCAGCCCCAGCCCACATTGTGGGGTCTTTAAACCAGGACATGCGTGTGGTCAGGATTCATTTGTTGGGGTGGGAGTAGTGGCATTTCAGAGTACCTGGTCAGCCAGCGGTAAAGGGAAGGAGGGTCTGCCGCTGGGGATTGCCCAAGCCAGGCAAGTGCTCTGCTGCTGACCTACAACGGAGCCCTTAAATTTCTGTAACCGGATCTCACTAAACTGCCAAGCCAGTCTGGAAGTTGTGATCCTCCTGCCCCAGCTTCCCCCAGTACTGAGCAGACAGGCATTTGTCCCCACACCCAGCTCCAGGGGAGCATTCTAAGGACTCTTCTGATGTGACTTAGTAGGACAGAGGATTTAGCGGTGATGGCCAAACTGAAAGCCAGAACCCACTGATCTATCGCAAAGCACCAACACTGCCACCAAGTCTGACCGTGTGTCAGGCAGCACACTGGCCGGCCACAGGAAAGCCTGGACCAGGTTTATGAATCTCAGCGTGGGAGGTCGTCATCTGGTGCCAGCAGCTACTCCCAGGACACCTGTGGCCCGCCTGTGTGGGCCACTCGGCTCACACCCCAACACAGGCCTGTGTCCCTGCCTGGCATATGCACCTAGCTTTGCCACACTGACCTAATGAGCCAAGGGCTGCTCAGGGTATCACGGAGCCTCACCCCAGCGGGGAAGGACAGCTGCAGGGCTACGAGCAGGTCACTGCAGACAGAGGAAAGGCACTCTTGAGACACTAGCACACCAATGAGCGACCAGAAGCTCTGAGTGGGTAAGAAGTCCAAGTTGCTTAGGCAGCAATGACCACTGGGGGACACTGCAGGTTTCCCTGCTAACCTGTGTCCACCTAGTACCTCCCTTTGCCGATGGAAGTGAGCACCGCACCCCAGAAGGCTGAGCTGAGAGCCTGCTAACCCTGGCAGTCTCCATGAGGATTCTGGACGCCTTCAGGAAAATAAAAAGGACGCTTTTATATAAACCACGCATTTCTCTCCCACGCAGCCACATCTACATAAGTGAACCCTTTAATGGTATCAAGCAGGAAGCTACTCTGGGGGTGTTGTGAGAACGATGACCCAGTGAGACCATCCAAGCCAAGGACCCTCAGTGGAACGCACCCTTGCTCAGCCGAGTTCTGGCTGGACATAGGGGCCCGTCTGCGGGCTGAACCACCCCACTGCCGGGGACGGAGAGAATGACCAGTCTGCCTTTGCACACAACCAGTGGTGTAGGGACTGCTACAGGCGGTTTTGACAAGACAGCTGCCCCACAGGGAGGGATACTGGCTTAATGGCAGAAAACAGCACTGATGTTTTAAAAACATACTCGGAACACAGACGTGTCATCCCCGAAACCATACTGAAATGTGAAGACCGGCATGGGTCAGGCATGTGTTGGGTGCACCAGGCCCAGGGTTTAATGCCTAGTACTGCAAAATGAGGGGCATCATCCCAAGTTACAAAGTACTACCACCAGGTATGGAAGTCACTGCAGGGGCGCCAGGGCCTATTTGTTATCTCAGGGACCACCGCCTTAAAAAAGCTATTTTCAGAGGAGATTGACCCGAAAGCCTGGTAATGTAGCTCAGGGGAGCCCTCAGTTCCATCCCTAGTACCGCAGACCTGGAGCGATTGTTTTGCAGCTGTGACCAGCACCTTCCCAATCCTCACCCCAGGATCCTCCACCTAGCTGCACAGGGCCTCCTGAGGCCAAAGTCCTGATGCCCCTACACAAGGACAGCAATCCAGCTTGTTTTCGATGTAACAGTGAAGTGTTCCCACCAAGAGCCCACAGAAACCCCTTTGTAACCCCTAACGCCCAGAGGCAACCTTGAGATAGCAGGTGGCACCTAACAGGGTGCACGCAACCTGTGCTGGTAGCAGCCTGTGGAGGTCTACAGCACCTTGGGGCAGGAGTCACCTTCAAGAGTCCGCACTGCACACACTGATGAAACCAGCGGACACCATGGGTAGGTCACAAGTCCCCAGAAATACCATGGCAACCTAATTTGTAAAACTAGGGTCAGGTTTTGTACTGGGGCTGGAACTCAACTCTGGCTTGCCAGGCAGCTGGGACCATTTTACTGTTCACTCAGCTTCGAATTAGGAAAAGCACAAACTTTGCACTCAAGATGTCATCTGAAAACAGTGCATGCAGCGTGGCAGGCGGCTTTTTGAGGAAACAATTTTGCTTCAATTTGCTTGTTTCAGACCAGCCAGCTAAGGGTCACCTTATGATCATTTAAGGTGAGACTCTCACACATCCACCTCATCCTGGTTTGACACCCAATCCCAACTCCTTACCATGACCAAGTTCTTGCTGGTCAAACATGAACTCACACACTCAACACAAGCTCATTTATCTTCCCATTTAACACAAACCCAACCATTGAGTGGTCCCCTTTTCAATCCCGAAGACATCCGTCAATAGCTTTATTTAGGCCTGTGTTCAAAGTTCTCCCACCACCTTACGATTCCAGAAACATACACCAAACACCTATTTCCGACTACATGTAAATAAATCCACTGGTTACTTCCCAACACCCTAGTACCCGTCTGCAGCCACCTACAACATGCGTCTAAAGACCTGTACAAGATATGCTAACCTCATCGACACCATAAACCACAGATACACCCAACTCTTGACACTTCACCCCCATTCTAAATCCCTTAGTACTATTACCACCACCAAAATAAAACACTCATTTTGGAATGCAAGAACTTTATTCAAAGTGCAATGGAACTTGTTGAAGGCTTAAAAGATAGGGGAAGCATAAACACCTCCCCTCAGGCGCAGGACCAGGTGCAGGGTGGACTCCTTCTGGATGTTGTAGTCGGAGAGGGTGCGCCCGTCTTCCAGCTGCTTGCCAGCGAAGATCAGCCTCTGCTGGTCAGGGGGGATGCCCTCCTTGTCTTGGATCTTGGCCTTGACATTCTCAATGGTGTCACTGGGCTCCACCTCGAGGGTGATGGTCTTGCCAGTGAGGGTCTTCACGAAGATCTGCATCCCACCTCTCAGGCGCAGCACCAGGTGCAGGGTGGACTCCTTCTGGATGTTGTAGTCAGAGAGGGTGCGCCCATCTTCCAGCTGCTTGCCAGCGAAGATCAGCCTCTGCTGGTCAGGGGGGATGCCCTCCTTGTCTTGGATCTTGGCCTTGACATTCTCAATGGTGTCACTGGGCTCCACCTCGAGGGTGATGGTCTTGCCAGTGAGGGTCTTCACGAAGATCTGCATGCCACCTCTCAGGCGCAGGACCAGGTGCAGGGTGGACTCCTTCTGGATGTTGTAGTCAGAGAGGGTGCGCCCGTCTTCCAGCTGCTTGCCAGCGAAGATCAGCCTCTGCTGGTCAGGGGGGATGCCCTCCTTGTCTTGGATCTTGGCCTTGACATTCTCAATGGTGTCACTGGGCTCTACCTCGAGGGTGATGGTCTTGCCAGTGAGGGTCTTCACGAAGATCTGCATGCCACCTCTCAGGCGCAGGACCAGGTGCAGGGTGGACTCCTTCTGGATGTTGTAGTCAGAGAGGGTGCGCCCGTCTTCCAGCTGCTTGCCAGCGAAGATCAGCCTCTGCTGGTCAGGGGGGATGCCCTCCTTGTCTTGGATCTTGGCCTTGACATTCTCAATGGTGTCACTGGGCTCTACCTCGAGGGTGATGGTCTTGCCAGTGAGGGTCTTTACGAAGATCTGCATTGTCTGTGTAACAAAAAAAAAAAAAAAAAAAAAGACTTAAAACGTTTAGTTAAATTACTAATACTAAAATTTTAAGCACTTATATTGACCCATACAATTAAACCTAAAAATCTCCCTCGAGAACAGGATACCAAAAAAAAAAAAAAAAAAAAAAAATTCAGGAAAACAAAACCCCTACTTTAGAAAAACCTGAGGCCTCACCAAGTCAAATAGAGAGCCTTGCTTTACCTTCTCCCCCTCCAGCAGTCAGGTTCTTGTCAACTGAGCCGAGTCCACCCCAGCCCCAAACCCTGTGTCCAGTAACTGAAAAGCCCAGCACTCCAAGAGGTCGGGGCCCCACCCTCCACTGTGCACTAACGGCAGGGATGACGTCACCAAAGGAGCCGTCACGTGGCCGGAAGCGCGCTCGCACCGCCCCCGCGGGAGTGGGCGCTGTAAGTGGCGTCCGCCACATTCCCAGAGGTTCCGCCAAGCTGCGGGGCTGCTGCCCGCCAACCCGCGAATGCTCGCCCCAGCCTCCGGAGCGCAGGTTTTACACGCCTGCGCCGGACGCTTTTCTGTTAATAAAAACCAAAGCGAACAAAACCCAGCGCTCGTAACAGCCAAGTTCCCCAACCCCACCGGTCTTCAGCAAACCCCTAAGCCCGCCTGAACAGCGCGGCCGCCCGTACTCCGCTAACGACCTCAGGAGCCTCGGCCCAGCGGCCCCTCATCCCCGTCCCTCCGGCTTCACCGCCCGCCCCACCACGGCCGCCATCTTGCGAGGCCTTCTTCCCCTCATGGCCGCCGCCCTTCACGGCCCCCGGGAGAGAAGCATCTCGCAGTCTCGGTGTCCCGCCACATCCGCCCCTCGCGGGTGGGCAGCCAGTGAACACCCTCGGCAGCCCAGCTACCTTCGCTCCTTACCAAGCGTCGACGGCGGCAGCACACGTACAAGAACCGAAAGTGGACAGCGACCTCGGCGGAACTAACCGCCGCCGGCCCAGCGCCACTTTATATAGTCGCCGCCGGGGCCGCGCCCCCGCAGATCCCTCCGCAGAAACGCCGAGAAGGGGACTACTTTTCTAGAATGTTCCGCCCCCCTAGATAAACGACAAGGGGCGGAGTCCCGCGACTTTCTCTGGAATGTTCTTCTGTGGTGATCCAGATGGCGGCAGGGGGAGGATGGCGGGGGGGGGGGCGGCGCAGTCCCGCCCCGCGTGGCCCGGCGGAGGGATCAGCGCGAGCGCTGCGCACGGTGACCAACCGCAGCCGCCAGGCGGGCGCGCGCGCTGGGGGAGGGGGCGGGAGCGAAAGCCCGGCGCGGATCGGCGGCCGGAGCGGAGTGGAGCTGGGCAGCCGGGGGTCCCCATGCCTCCCGCCCCGCCGAGGCCTGCGGGGTCTGCGCTGCAGGTCACGCGTAGGGCCGCGGCGGTGATCTGGCTGTGCCGAGTCCCCCTCCCGGTCCGACTTCCGCCGGCCCAGCCCCCGCCGTGCGGGCAGGGTGACAAGGAGGATGACTGCGCAAATCTCAGGCCGGGCGGGCGGGGCGGCCCCGGCGGTGCCGCCCGGTCCCGGAGCAGTGGCGCCCCCCGGGTGGGGAGGGAAGACCGTGCCGCCGCGGGGGCAGGGGCCGGCGTTCAGGGCGACCTTGGAAAAGAAAATCAAGCCGGCGTCGAAAAAGCACGGGAGCCAGGCGCGGCCTGCGGGGGATCTGCGCGGCCTTCCGGGGTGCCCAGGCCCGGCGCCCCGGGGTCACACGGGGTTGTCCCCCTCCTTGGCATTACTCAACTTGATCTTTAGCTCTGAAATCGAAGCCCTTGGAGCCTTGAGATTTGTTTTTAATTAAAAATTCGTCTCACTGATCTATGCCCAGGCCGGAAATTCAGTTTATTTTTATTTTTTTTTATTTTTTTTTTCAGTTTTTTTTTTTTTTCAGTTTATTTTTAACTGAGAAATAAAAACAGTGTCCGTGTTTGTAGGGAACCGGGAAGTGTGTACTGTGAGGCTTAAACCGTGTTAATCCTGGTTCCTCAAACAGCGTCTCTAGGGAGTGAGGTATTGGCAATCCTTTCAGAGTTTTGAATTAGAAGGGTTGAGATGTTTAAACTCGACCATCGAACCTCAGTCCTGCATATTTCTGGAAAAATGTATTTTTGGGTTTGTTTTTGTTTTTCTGAGCCGGCCTTACTCTGCCTAGGCGGGTTCCAACTCTCCTTGGCCCAGCTTCTCAGCCTCCTGAGTGCTGGGATTACAGGCTGTGCCGCCTGGTCTGCGGCCAAAACGCACTTAAAATTTACAGTGGGGAAAAAAATGTACAGTGTGGGCTCCTAATTCCCTGGTTACTTTTCCTTCTAGACTGTTCTAGAAATATCCTTAGTCTATGAGTGGGGCAGGGGTATTTGAATTTCTACCTTTAAAGCTTTCAAAGAAAAAAACTACTAAACTGAAAAATGTTCTGCCATTAGAAAGTGATTCTTCTAGCTACAAATCTTGATTAAACACTGAAAATGCCAGCCTTGGGGCTGGGGATTTAGCTCAGTGGCATAAGCACCTTCCTTGCAAGCAGGAGGTTGTGAGTTCGATCCCTGGTACCGATAAAAATGAAAAAGACAAAAAAAAAAAAAAAAAAAAAAAGTTTCCCATGAAAATGCCAGCCTTGTATGGTGTCGCCCACCTGTAATTCCAGCACTCAGGGAAGCTGAGGCAGGAAGGCAGCTGCCAGTTCAAAGCCAGTGCAGACTACATAGTGAGACCCTGTCTCAAAACAAAACCCAAACGTCATCAATTAATTCTAACTTCCATTCTCCTTTTTCAAGGAGAATGAAAGGGTTCATGTGGGCCTGGGAAATGAAAAGTCAAACTTAAATGTCTTTTTCCAGGGTGGAGAGGAGACCCCCACGATTTCTGAGACAGATCTCTGTGGTTGCCCAGAGACATTTGAAAGAAACAAGCTGGGATCTGTTTGAAGGGGTCAGCCTCAGCGGCTTGCAGGCTGCTGTGACTCCACCAGAGCCTCTCGAGTGGGGTGCCGGGCTGAGTCACAGCTCTGGGATCTGAGCTTCGGGAGTGGGGTGCCGGGCTGAGTCACAGCTCTGGGATCTGAGCTGTGGCGTCCACAAGTACTTGGAGGTGCGGCCAGGCACACACAAGCTAGCATTTCCCAAGGCCCCAAAGAAGGTGGCTGCTGCTAAGGGGAGGTGCCCCAACTTTGAGAGATTTACCCCGCCAGGGCCAGGTTTATTTTCACGTTTGGTTGGATTAAAGTTTTTGAGACGGTCTCAATCTATAGCCCAGGCTGGCTTTGTGATCCTCCTGCGTCAGCCTCCTAGTGCTGGGATTACAGCCCCCCACTGTTACTCAGGGCTCAAGGGGACTCAATTTATTTTTTATTTTTTATTTTTTATTTTTTAGGGGCTGGAGATTTAGCTCAGTGGCAAAAGTGCCTGCCTTGCAAGCAGGCAGTCTTGAGTTCAATCCCCAGTAACGATAAAAAGGAAAAAGACAAAAAAATTTATTTTTTGGTCTTTATGTCTCTTAAAGACAGCAGTTCCCTGTGCAGTTCAGGGTGGCCTTGAGCTGCTTGGTAGCCCACGCTGGCCCTGAATTTGCAGTGACCCTCCCTGATGCTGGGATGACAGGTGTGCGTCACCACATCTGGCGAAGGGGACCTTTTTATTTGTGGCTGCTGTGGGGCACAGGTGAGTAGTGGCACCAGTGACAGAGGTCTAGAGACTGAGGGTACTGCTGGATGTCCCCCAGTGCGCTGCCCCTCTCCACAAGGACTTCTGTGACCCCAGAGCTGAGGTCAGGAGCCCGCCCAGCCTTCAGGAGACTCTGATCTGTGTGACCCACTTGGCCCCAGAGACGGGGACATCAGGACTGCTCCTGAAACCTGACCCCTGACCTAGACCGTGGCTGAGGACAGCTGTATACCGTGTCACAGGCATCTGAGTCACCAGCTCCAGTGTCCTTCCTGGTGCCCAGGGCTTGCGCCTTTGCAGACGGCCCAGGTGACAGGCCGGGTTGGCTGGGGCAGTGTGTGAGGGGCCACACACACAAGAGGAGGGTGACCCTGTGCCCTGAAGTCCCCTGCCTGCTCCCTCTAAGGTCACCCTGCCTGTGGCCGGGTCCCCAAGACAAGAGGTGTGGGCAGAGAGCTGGGCCTTCCCTGTGGCTGGTTATGTGGCCATAAAAGTCACCAAGGGCATCACACAGGGAAGAGTGAAGCCCAAGAAGCTTCCTGCCCCTGTGTGTGCCGGCCCAGGCTCCCTGAGCACTGGGGGCCCCTTGCCTGGTGCTGCCAGCACCAGTTCGGGCCTGGGATTTGCCTTGTGCAGGAATTTACAATCTATCCAGGCTTCCTTTGTGTTTTTAAATTGTGTCAACTGTGACCTAACATTTTTTTGATGGTGCCAGGTTATTATTGCTGAGTAAACCAATGCTTTACCCCTGAGCTCCACCTTCAGCCCTTAGTTGTCACCGTACTTTTGTATTACTCACATTTTTCTTTGAGACAAGGAGTGTCTGTAGTTCAGGCTGGATGTGAACTCAACAGTCTTCCTGCCTCAGCCTCCCATGTGTTGGAATCACAGGCATGCGCCACCACACCTGGCTCTTTTTAAGTGTGCGTGTTAGTGGTGTTAAATTCATCTGTGTTTTTGTGCAGCAGCCACCAGCCCCACCTCCAAAACTGCATCTTGGGAAATGAAGCCGTCCCCACCTAACCTGGACCCTAACCCTGGCCCTGGCCCTAAGTCACCTGCTGGTTCTGTCTCGCTGAATTCTCCCCGCTACCTCTATAATGGACTGCTGGCCTTTGCTTTCTTTGTTGTTCTGGTTGTTTGTCTGTTGAGATTGGATCCTGCTATCCTGTCTGTGGTGCAAACTGGCTTTGGCCTCATTATGTAGCCCAGGCTGGCCTTGTGATCCTCTTGCCTCAGCCTCCATACTGCTGAGTCTACAGGCTCGGGCACCACGCCCCTTACCCACAGTGTTAAATAACAACAACAGTATTTTTTTAAAAGGACTTTTTAAAAGGATTCACAATGTTTCCAGGAAGCTGTCATCCCATCATAAGCCTTTAACCCCCAACAATGCCTCTGGTATTTTCCCGGGGCTCCCAGAGGCAGGCGTAAGGATGTGATTAAAGATATAACGCAAAACAGAAGCCAGGATCCGTTTCCCGTCGGGCTGGATTCCCTTAGCAGTGGCCCTCTGCTGTTTCCTGATCCCTGCGGTGACAGGCAGGGAGGGTCACCTTGCCTCCTCAGAAACAGGAGCTCCCCGCCTCACAAGCCAGTGAGTCAGTCAGGAGCTCAGTTTCCTGTTCTCAAAAACAAAAACTTTGCCAAGTCCCATGTCCCTGCAAGACTAGAAAAAGACCCATTTATCCTTAGAGGTGTGAGGTGGAATGACAGGGGAAGGTGGGTGAGGACAGGTGGCAAAGCTCTGGGTCCCCTCGAAGGAACAGGTGGGTAGCTGTGTGGATACAGTGTGTCCGGAGAGGGACGGGGTGTTGACGGGGACACAGTGTGTCTGGAGTGGGACCCGGTGGTGCCGGGGACACAGTGTGTCTCTGGAGAGGGACCGGGCGGTGAAGGGGACATGAGGTCCCCAGAGAGGGACCCGGTGGTGCCGGGGACACAGCGTGTCCGGAGAGGGACCGGGTTGTGCTGGGGACATGGTGTGTCTGGATTGGGACAGCTGGCGCTGGCTCTGGGAGGAGCTCCCAGCTGACAGCAGAGAATGCACCTGGAGAGTTTCAGCACCCAGCCACTGTCGAGTCCCAGGTGACCCTACTGCAATAGAAGTGTAGAGGGGGACTCCAGGTTTGGGTCTGCCTCAGTTTACCCCCCCACTCAGGTCATCGGAGTCCTCAATAGGAAGTCACAGGCCGGGGAAAACCCAGATCCCGCAGGAGGCCAAGGAGTTGCCCTGTGATGCTCACTATATCCCTAAGCCCCTCCTGCTCATAGTGACAGAGAAACAGGGACAGCAGTAAAAACTCGAGAGAAAAACCAAGTGGAGATGCCGGGGATCGAACCCGGGGCCTCATACATGCAAAGCATGCGCTCTACCACTGAGCTACATCCCCACAGTGACTGATGTATGGGCAGCCACAGGCTGCACTTGAATGCGAGTTTTCTTCCCGAATTACAAGTTTGTGGGTGTGCTTTTTAAAGGGGCCGCGGGCTCAGCAGGAGCGAAGTAAACGGATTCTCCCCCCACACCCTGTGGGCCCGGCCCTGGGAGCCCTGCGGCTGTGACCCCGGCTGGTGCAGGGACTGGGGACAGGAGGGGAATATTTCTTCGTAGTGAATAAGGCCCGATGGGGTCGCCACCCGGAAATCAGTCTCTGCCTTCAAACCGCGCCACCTGGGCGTGGGGGCGCAGGCCTGTCGGCCCAGCACTCCGGAGGCTGAGGCAGGAGGGTCCCAAATTCACGGGCAGCCAGGGCACATCAGCCATGTGGCAAGAGCCAAACTCAAAAATAAAAATAAAAGAGGGTGAGGGTGAAGTTCAGCGCGAAGGCGCTGGGCCGATCCTCCACACACGTGCACCCCAAAAAGAGAAAGGAAAGGAAACCGGCGTCCCCCCCTCAGTGTCAGGGTCCAAATGGAGACAGGAAACCACGTCATTTGCTTTCCTGGGGTCACCTCGCACAGGACACCCCGCCACCTGTCCTCATGGAGGGTCCCTGCCTCTGCAGAGGTGCGGGCCGCGACGATGGGGGGACGGCCCTGTCCCCGTCCGAGCCGCGCCTCGGCCCAGGAGAAGCCGCAGGGGGTCCGGGTCCGGGTCCGGGGGAGGCGAGGCCACCGCTGGCCCTGCCCGCGTCGCCGTGACGACCCCGCTCGCGGGCACCTGTCCCCGCCCTGCGGAGCTGCCGACGGACGGGGCTTGGGAACCGCTGCGGACTTCCAGGAAGGGGTCCTCTCACCGGAGGTCCAGCGACAGTACTTAAAAAGTCCAGCGACAAAACCTGCAGCCTCCCCGTCGGGGAATCGAACCCCGGTCTCCCGCGTGACAGGCGGGGATACTCACCACTATACTAACGAGGACCGGCGCTGGAAGAAGACCTCCGGTGGCTCCTTTAAAGCAGGTGCGCCGTCCACGTGCGCCCGGGATCCGGCGCTTTGCTGCATTTTCTTATAAAACAGGGAGGGAGAGGACGGAGGAGGAGTCCAGGTGTGCCGTGCGCCTTCCCCAGCCCCGCAGGCGGAGGGACGCGATTACGGCGCCCCGCAGAGGTGCAGCGCTAAAAAATAAATTTTAAAAAATGTACAATCTTTAAAAAACAAGTGCAATTCTATGAATAACATCAGAGGCGCCCACTTCCTGCTCGGACCCTGACTCGACCGCGACAGTTCCGAAAGCAGTCGAACAGAAAGCAGAAATCACGAGCAGACATCAACAAATACGGCAGAGCCGAGTGTGGGTTTAAGAAGAGAATCTGGTAGCGATTTGGGCTTGTTGGCAAGTTGGCTTCCAAAGAAACACTAAAGTAACAAATTTAAAAATTAAAAAGCAGGCGCCTCCTCGACAGAAAGATCGGCTTCGCTCACTTCCGCCTCTGGGTGCGGACGGAAAAGAAGCTGCCGAAACCCGGGATCGAACCAGGGACCTTTAGATCTTCAGTCTAACGCTCTCCCAACTGAGCTATTTCGGCGGCCGACTCTGGGCCGACTGCTCTCGGTCCTGCCTGTCATTTCTGCGCTCGGGCCTCCGCCCCGACCCCCCCCTTCCGTGCGTTCCCCGCCCCTGCGCGCGGCCCGTCCTTTCTCGGCGTTCAAGGCCGCGCCTCCCGCCGGGTCTCGGCGCGACGGCTCACTAGGCACTTGGCGCTTCGTCCTACGCCCCTTGACTGTGTCCACCCAGCTACAACGACGGCGCAGGAGGGACGGAGACCAGCGCCTTGACGCCTAGAGCGGTGCCTGGTGCAGAGGAGGCGCTTCATTCATGTGTGTTGAATGAACAACAGAACGAAAGAATGAGTGCCTGACGCCCGCCTGGCTCGGCGCTCGCTTTCTAAGACCCCCTTCTCTGCCTGAAGGAAGGGGGTCGACCCCGTGTGCGAGGGGTCGGGATGCTTGATCCCGGCCGGCGCGGGGGAGCTTCCACCCAACTGGGCTGATGTGTGATTCACACCCGTCTCCACGCGTGGGCGCCACACCTGTGACCTGCGCAGCTTCGCAGAGAAGTCCCAGGTGCGCGCCCAGCTGGCACTGCGCGGCCCTCCCGTCGGCGGCGGTGGGTGGGCGGGTGGGGAGGGAAGTGAGGAGTGGGGCGGGGTCTTTCCTAGTGTGAGTTTAGGGTTCACCCACACACAACCGAGTGATGGCGTGGAGTAGCCAGTGTGGGGACGGACACCGGGACGGTGAGACTCGGGCGCCAGCCACGCTGGGACTGGGGCGACGCACGGGGCGGGGGCGTGAACTCCTTGTGCAGAGGAAGGTCCTGAGGCTGGAAGATCAGAAAGTCAGCGCGGAGGAGGCCGGGGCTGGGGTGGAACCCGGGCTTCTGCTCTGGGTTTAAGATGTGAGAGCGAGTCTCACTCAATCGCCCAGGATGGGCTGCAGCTCGTGGTCCTCCTGCCTCAGCCTCCCACAGCGCTGAGCGTCCAGGCCTGCGCCACTCCGCCAGGCTCTGGTGTACTTTTTCGTTTTTTGTATTAAGATGACACCCGGCCTCACCCGCGCGGACAGTTCCGTGGGCCTGAGTGGCTTCACAGTGCGCCGACCCCTGCACTACCAGTCCGCTTCCTGCCCCCGAAGGTTCGCCCGGGACCCCCGATCCTTGCCCTGGAGTCTGCCAACCCCAGATACTCCCTGCCGTAACACGCACGCATGCACACTCGCACACGCACACGCGCACGTGCACACGGGCGCCACACGCGGCTGCTGCCCCAGGCCGGCCGCTGCAGAAGCCCCCGCCTCCGCTGGGTGGCCGCCACCTGCCGGCCGCGATCTCCCGGCATTGTGGGGCTTCTCCGCGGGATCCGGTGACGCCCACAGCGCGGACCCCATGGAGGGCGGGGACGGAGCCCGCGGCGTCTCCCACCGGCCGGGGCCGGAGCGCGACGCGGCGGCGGGAGGGGCACAGGTGGCTTTTTCAAAACCAAGCGCAGGCGCCTTTCGGGAAAACCCAATGTGGGGGGGGGAGGGGAGGAGGGAGAAGGAGGGGGAACATAAGGGGCTCGGGAATAAAAGGGCAGCGTGCGTGCAAGACGCGGGCACGCGCACCGCGGTCCTGGCTCCTCGCGGGCGCCCCGAAACCCAACCACGGGTGCAAAAGGGCACACAGCCTCCCCGTCGGGGAATCGAACCCCGGTCTCCCGCGTGACAGGCGGGGATACTTACCACTATACTAACGAGGACGAGCTACATATTGCCTCCTGCCAACTCCAACCCTAAGCACTCGGCCGCTCTGTGCCCGGAGCCCCGAGTGTCCCCGGGCGTGCCGCACCGCCTGCCCGCTCCAGGCGCAGGGCTGAGGCGGCGCGCGGGAACCCCGGGCGGAGGAACCGGGGCTGGGAAAGCCATATCAGTTCTTCTGGAACTCTTTTGGAAGACCAGGGGATGTAGCTCAGTGGTAGAGCGCATGCTTTGCATGTATGAGGCCCCGGGTTCAATCCCCGGCATCTCCACTTTTTATTAACCCTTCTCACCCCGCATCGGTCCCCGCCACCCGTTGTGCGTGCAGTCCCGGGTGGGCGTGGCAGCCTGCGATTTCATTCCTGCGCATGCGTCCCAGCTCCGTCACCCGGCAGTTTTGGAAAAACTTGATTCAATAACCACCTCACGCGTGGGGTCGGGGAGCTTTCGCTGAAGGCTCGGCAGCGGGCCTTGCGTGGAGCTGAGGCCGGGGTGTGCGCCCACCGGGTGCCCGATTGCAGGCCGAGCACCCGCGACTCCCGTGCAGTCCCGGCCCTGAGACTGGCAGTGTGAAGCGGCGGAGCGCGCGGTCGTGCCAAGGCACCTCGAGCCGCTGTCCCACCCGAAGCAACGCCAGCCTCACCGAGCTTGTCACCGACCGCCCTGGAACCCGGGCCAGGTCCCCACGGATGCGCTCGAAGCCCGCACTATGGGACCCAGGGCTGTGGGTGCTTTGGTTTTAATTTTGCTGCTTTGGGAATTGAACCCAGGGCCTCCACACCGAGCTGTGTCCCAGCCTTTTTTTTTTTTTTTTTTGAGAAGCTCTCATATCACTAAGCCGCCCAGACCGGACTCTGGTGTGCGATTCTCCTCGGGTCACGCTAAACCACTTTCTGAACAGGCGCCCAAGGCCACTGTGTGGCCCCCACACACCGCTGCCCATCCCTACATCAGCCCTGGCAAGGGTCTGGAGGCCCGGGACTTTGCACTGAACCGCACCCCAGCTTCGTGCTGGGAGCGGGGTGACCGGGTGGGGGCGCTGCTGGGAAGCTCACAGGGGGCTGGAGTGTGGCCAAGCCCTTGCCTAGCACAAGAGGCCTTGGTTCCAGCTGTGTGCATGGACACTGGCACACACGTCTGTGCATCTGCCAGGTGTGGGGATGCACGTCTGTTCATTGCAGCACTCTGGGAGGCTGAGGCAGGAGGATTTTTGAATTGGGAGCCAGCCTGGGCAACTAAGAGTCTCAATTTAGACAGGGAGGCAGGATCAGTCATGTAGAGCAGTGGGAAGGGCCTGGGGTCCTCTTCACCTTCTTACAGCTGAGAATGAAGGCCTTCTGTCCACAGGAGACGCACACGCATGCTTGCACCAGTGCAAGGGGCCCTAGACGAATGGACCAGCAGAGTGGCCCACTTCTCCACTTGTGACAGGGTCCTACCATGGGGCCCAGGCTGATCAGCTCACAGCAATCCTCCTGCCTCGGCCTCCTGCCTGATCCATGACCAGCACAGTCAGGCCCCTTTCCATTTGCAGAGTGAGCATGTGGGGTGCACCCTGAGAACCGCAGGATGTGACAGCACAGGTTACAAATCACATGACTTTATCCAAAACGTCCAGAAGGGGCAAAGATAAACAGATGGCAGGTGGGCGGGGAGGGCTCCAGCCAGGAGCTGGGGAGACGGGGTGAGGCTGTGGGCACCAGGGAGAGAGGTGCCCTGCACCGGGTGGGAGTAACAGTAAACCAGGAAGTCCACAAGCCACAGCGTCTCGGAGGGCTCGGCACACAGCTCCGGCTCAGACCGCGAGTGAGGGCCGAGAGCTGCAGGCTGAGAGCCCGGCTGGCTCCCACGGCCACCCTGAACAGCAGCACCAGGCCCAGCTCCGCTCAGGGCGAGGGCTGAGGGGTTGCTGCTCAGGCCACAGAGCAGCTGCCCCAACCTGGGCCTCTCCAGGCTCGAGAGTAGCCGGGAGGCAACAGCATCAGTGTGGCGAGGTTGCCACCGGGGTCCAGAGCTGTGGGGCGACGCTGGAGGTGTCGGCTGAGCTCTGGGGGCCGTGTGGGGTTCCCGGTGCCCTCCAGAGTCCCGGCAGAAGTCTTTGTGTGAAGCTCTGCCTCCATGGCCACTGGAGACCAGCCCCAATCCTGACTGTACAGTTGGCCTCTCAGGACACAGAACACAGGACAGGGCCCTGGTCCCCATCTCCCTGGGGACTGTCCTCTGCGTCCTCTCCACATTGGCCCCCAGAACGAGGACGGGGGCCACCCCAACTCAGAGCACACCTGGGTCCTGCTGAGCTTCCACAGAAAGCCCAGGCAGAGAGGAGCCCTGAGGTGGGGCTTGGGGCCCCCCACTAAGGGAGGCCTGCAGACCCCCACCCTCAGGTTCCAGAGGCTGATGCGGCCCAAACCACACTGGCCCGGGCCACATACTCCGGGGCAGAGCTGTCTTTCGGGGGCTCAGCCAGGGCTGGTCAGGGCTGCGAGGTGGGGGGCCAGGCTTTCTGGACTTCGGGGTGCGTGGCTTGTGGGAGCCACTCCAAGTATTCAGCCAGCAAGTCTGTGGGGGAGGCCCCAAGTTAGCTGCCCGGCCCCACTCCCCCAACCCCACCCCCCACCAGGCTGCGGCCAGCCCATAGCACCTGCCCCGCCCTGGCCCTGGCCCTCGCCAGGTCCACTCACACTCTGGATTTTGCTTCCAAGCGGCCAGCAGGGCGTCTCGGCAGTCAGCCTTCTCAGCCACCAGGGCCTTCAGCAGCGTCTCCGTCCTGGGCTGCAGCCTAGAGGGAAACGGGGTGGCAGCCAGGCATGGGGAGCTGGGGAGCTCACGGAGGGTGAGGGGACAAACGCAGATGGAAGAAGGGCATGGGAGGACAGAAACAGGCACTTGGCAGCCACAGGGAGCCGAGAGGCACAGGGTCCCAGTGGGAGGCCGTACCTGGCCCAGGTCTTAAGCATCGTGCTGGGGCTGGACAGCAGGCAGTCCCGGAAGGCAGCCAGTTTGCGGAAGACCTGCAGAGGGACCATGAGGGTGAGCCCAGCCTGCTGCCCATGGAGCCCAGGACTGGCCTTGAGGCTGCCGGCCACCTACCTGCCCTTCCAGCAGGAAGCGGGCAAAGTGCTTATAGCGGTCGATGCCTTCGGGGAAATCCACCTGGATGGCGGGCAGCGGCCAGCCCACGCGGTCTGTGGGACAGAGCTGGTGAGCGAGGCACAGGAGGGACTCGGAGGACATCGGGCAGGACGGCACTCACAGAACACGCTGGCACGGTGGCACTGCACACGGCCACGCTCGGGGCAGTAGGTAGGCGCGGGCTCCTCCAGGGGCGCCTGGAACTGGCAGAAGGTGGGCAGCAGGGCCGGGATCCACTGCTCCTCCACCTCGGAGACGCCTGGCGGGCGGGAAGCGCCGTGAGCCGGTGCCGACGGGTGGGGGTGGTGGGGGTGCTGCCCCAGGGCCCCGCCGTCCGTACCTTTCATGTACAGCTTGGTGGTCTCCACAATCTCCTGGTAGACCACAAACTCGGGGAGCTCACGGAAGAGCACGGAGCTGGGGTGGATGAAGACAGGGTCGTCCAGCAGCGGGGTCTGTGGAGGGAGGGCCGGTGGCTCGAGGCAGGAAGACCCCAGGACCCCTGAAAGGATCTGATCCCATTCCACCTTCGGGGCTGAGGACCGCGTCCACCCTGACCCCAATTCCTTGGCCACTGAGAGAGACGGGGCAGTGACCCAGGCTGCAGAACGGCAGAGTGGGAGACAGGAAGCTGACGGGGCAGGAGGGGGAACGGGTTTTTCTCTGGTGGGGGACAACATCCTGACACGGTGGTGATGGCTTTGGGCTCTGAACACACTGAGCCCGTGGAGCATGCGCTTGCAGTGCTGGCTTCACAGTAGCCAGTTACACTGCACTGAAGCCGCTATAAAGTGCATGCCTGTAATCCCAGCACGAAGGAGGCTGAGGCAGGAGGATCCCAGCAAGTCCCAGGCCAGCCAGGGCTACACAGAGTCCAAGGCTGGCTTGAACACAGGCTGAGACTGTCTTAAAAAGGCGAGAGGCATCGATTCCACCAGCCAGGTTCACCCTGCTGGGGTCCCCAGGGCTGGGAGCCTGCACCCCACCTTGTAGGCGTTTCTCCATGAGTCATCCAGGAGCTCCTCGCTCTGCACCCTGCGGGCCAGGTGGTCACCCAGGCCGGCCGTGACGATCTGCCGCAGGAAGGTCACCTGGCTCTCGCTGGGCGGGTCCATCTTGGGATCCACGAAGACCCTGGCCTCGGGGCACACGGCGTTGACTGGGGGGAAGAGGGCGAGGGTAGGCTGCTGGGCCATGGTGGCATCTGCCTCCCCTGGGCAGCTGCTCACGTACCTGAGGTGGTGAGCTGGCCACGCAGACGTCGCACCTCCAGCATGGCCTTGAGGCGTAGCCCATTGGCCTCGCAGAACTCGCGGGAGCAGCCGGAGTAGTCACAAGCCCCCACTGCACCTGCAGGACAGCAGGGCCAGGCTCACACCCCACCCGGGACCCCAGGGCACCCCACAGGACCCCACCTCCTGCCGGCACCCACCCAGCAGCACCATGACGTCGCCCAGCTTCAGACAGGCCCCCTGGCCCGCCCAGGTCCTCTTCATCTGGGCCACCCGGGCGCGCCGGCCCCTCAATGCAGTGAGCTCCTCCTCGCTGGCGGCAGGTCTGTACACAGACAGACAGAGGTAACCTGACTGCAGCCTCGGGGCAGGTCAGGCTCAGGTACTCCTGCCCACCCGCGGCTGTTGGGGCTGAGGATGTGGGTGAGGTCAGCTGCGGACGCCCACACCTGCAGTCCCAGTTACTCCAGAGGCTGAGGCAGGAGGAACACCTTCAGCTGGAGGCCAGCCTGAACGACCCTGTCTCTACATAAATAGAGACAGAGGCGAAGCGAAGCGCAAGCTGTGGGCAGAGCTGCTCGCACCAGGCCGGAGGGTGAACCCCGCCAGTGGCTCCAGGTGGGGTGCGGGGGGCTCCTTGTGGGAATTAACCCACGCAGCGCTGTCCCGGCCGCACCCCACTGGAGACACGGAGGCTGAGTGGTACGGTCACCGCTGAGGCCATGCAGGGAGATGTGCCCCGGGCCCCAGGGCTGCACAGCCCCTGCATCTCCTTAGAGGCGCACACTGGACACTCTGGGGACTACAGGAGAAAACCACAGTTCCGGTCACTGCAGCCTCTGTGGGGCTCCAGCTGCACGGGCTCGCGGCTGCTGTGGGAACAGCCCGGGGGCTGCAGGGTGACCTTAGGGAGGACTCCCAGAGGAGTCCTGGTGAGTCCCCCGACTCAAGGGCTCGGCCAAGGGACTGCACGGGACCCAGGGGGTGCTGCACATAGGCCACCAACCACACCGCTGGGACAGGTGTGCTGCCGATCAGGCGGAGACCGAAGCTATGGATGCCTCAGAAGAAGGAGGGGGCGGTGTGTTCAGTCAGGAGTTTTTTTTTTTGTGCTGGGGATCAAACTCACAGCCTTGCATTTGCCAAACAGGCACTTATGCCACTGAGCTAAACCCCCGGGCCCAGGAGTGCTTTTTCTCCCATTTTGGAAATTTTTTTTTCAACTGTCTTTTTGTTGTTTTTTGAGACAGGGTCTTATACTCCAACAGATTTTGAAGAGACAATACTCCTGCCTCAGCCTTAACCCTAACCTGACCTGGTTTTTTGTGTGTGGAAGGGCTCCTGCAATCCATCTCAGGACCCTGCACTTGCCAGGAAAGTGCTGAGCTGCTGTGTTATATCCCCGGCCCCTGGGCTGGCTTTTACTTTTGCACAACAGGAATGGCACGCAGGTCCTTCACACTGAGCTAGGTCTTCAGCCCCTCTCTAAGGTTACTTTTTTTTTTTTTGTCTTTTTTTCATTTTTATTGGTACCAGGGATCGAACTCACGACCGCCTGCTTGCAAGGCAGGTGCTTATGCCGCTGAGCTAAATCCCCAGCCCCTCTCTAAGGTTACTTTTGAGACAGGTTCACACCGAATAGCCCAGCTGGGCTTGTACTCTGGATCCTCCTGCATCAGCCTTCCAGTGTGGGGATGGTAGGTGGGTGCCACGACACCCCGCTAGGTGGCCCCAAAGTGACCCTTTCCTGGAATCAGTGGCCCTGGACACCAGGGATGCCCTCACCCCAAGCCTCAGGACACCCCAAATCTTGCAGAGGACAGAGAACTGGGGTGGTCACTGTTGCTGTGAAGCTCGGGGGCCATGCGGGCCACGCACCTGTCCAGCTCCTCGAAGAGCTCGCGTACCGTCATGGCGGCCACGATGGCGATGGCGTAGGGCAGGCAGCCGTGCTGGCGGCTAAGCGCCAGCATCTTGGCACAGCGGGGTGCCACAGGGAAGGTGGCCATGGTCCTGCCCAGGGCCGTGATAGGGCAGCTCAGCCTCGACCTCTGCAGCTGCTTGACCCTGGGGACAGAGGCCACAATGGCTGGGCACCCAGGGATGGGGCAGTGCCCGGCCCTCCCGCTCTGCCCAAGCCCTCCTACCTCTGTGTTTTTGAAGGCTCCTGCAGGGCACCCAACGCGATCAGCAGCTCCTCTGCTGCCACCAAGGCCTCCATGGAGGGTGGCGTGGGGAAGGGGAAGTTGACTACCTGGGTCCCAGGAGCGGACGAGGCTGCATGAGCACCCGGCCACCCAGCCACCGTCCCCACCCAGGCATGGGGTCGGCACCCAGAAAACAGGTGCCAGCCCTGGGTGCGCAGCAAGCCCAGGGCTTCCGGCCTGCACCCCACTGCCCACACCTGGCACTCACTGCCTGGCTGAGCAGCACGGGGGACCTCGCCGCTGTGCTGGTTCGGCTAAGCCTCCCTGACACTGAGTCATGTGGCCCACGGCCCTTCCCTCCCCCGTGCACCGGGAGCCTGGCAGAGACCCCCCCAGGAGGGGGGCCACGGGGCACCCACCTTCTCAATGTTGAGCGCCTTCATCTGCAGGATCAGGTCCTCCACAGGCCGCCGCGTGATCTCAGGAGCAGGAAACTGCTCAAAGTCCCCGAAGACGGCAGATGAGTACAGCCTGGGCAGAGGCGAGCACCCTGAGCGGGAGCGGCCAGGGCTGTACAGTGCCCCCCGGCCTGCCTCGACCTCCCCAGCTGCCTCCTGTACTCTGCTGTGCGCTACTTAAATGGCATAGAAAGAATGGCAACGGGGCTGGGGATTCAGCTCAGCGGTGTGACTGCCTGCCTGCAAGTGCGGGTCGTAAGCTCGATCTAGGTGCCAAAAAAACAAATAGCAACGAAGCCGGCAAAGAGAAAGCCGGCCCCGGGCAGGAGCGGGGACTGTGGTGGCCGCTGAAGCGGCCCTGGCGCCCGGGCAACAAGCAGCAAGGAAAAGCATCCCTCACTCTCTGGGGGCTGGGGTGAAGCCCCACCTGGGCAAGTCAGGGGACTCAGCACGACCCTGACTCAAGAAACCGCAGCGCTGCGGAGGTCGGGAACCGGATCTCCAGCACCGCTGAGGGGAGCAGTGACCACGCTGCCCGGAACCACCCTGCGGCCTGGCACCCGCTCCTGGACCCACGCCTACACGGCTGCCTGCTCGATTATGCAGCAGTGCAGAGGGGCGCCGTGGGGAACCGGAACTCGGAGCCACCTGCTCTGGGGCGCTACGCAGCCAACTACGGAGCGTAGCACAGTATAAGCTGGGATATGATGGCCTGAAAATCTGCAGTGACAGCAGCTGAACACTCGAGGACATGTGTGTCCAGATGGACTGCCCCTGATGGGGTTTTGTGGGGTGGTGAGAAGTTCTGACGCTGGTTTTAGAGGACGCACCATGACTGCGCCGTCATGCACCCCTGCCATCCCAGGGCTCTGAGAGGATAAGGCGGGAGGACTGCAGGGATGACCTCAGCATGGGCAGTGCAGGAGGCCTCAAGAGGGCAAAGTTAAAAAAGGCTGGAGATAGAACTTGGCGCCAAGGTCTCAGGGTCAACCCCAGTACCACAAAACAATTAAAAAACTTTGAAAATGAGGAAGACAGGATTGTGAACGTGGAGATGGTGGGTTAGTTTTTTGGTCTTTTTTGAGACAGGGTCTCTCTACGCAGCTCAGGCTGGCCTTGAGCTCACTTTGTAGCCCAAGCTGGTCTCAAAGTCACAACGACCTTCCTGCCTCAGCCTCCCCAGGAGTGCTGGGAGGACAGGCGTGTGTGTCCATGCCCGGCTTAAGTTAGCTCTCAATGAAGCAGCATGGGAGCCCAGGGTCTGCCTCTGAGGTACGCCATGGGCATCCACACTGCCCGAGCACACAGGCACCCTGCACCCGGGACAGGGGAGCCAGGGACCCACCTGTAGCAGTGGCCCGGCTCTGTCCGGCCTGCCCGGCCCGCCCGCTGGTCAGCAGATGCCTGAGAGACCCAGGTGACGCGGAAGGAGGACACCCCGGTGACACGGTCGTAGTAACGCTTCTTGACTTTCCCGCAGTCCACCACGTACTTGATGCCAGGGATGGTGAGGGATGTCTCGGCCACGTTGGTGGCCACGACACACAGCCTGGTCCCCTCTGGCGGAGGCCTGAAGACCTGGGGTTGGGAGAGGAAGCGACACTGAGCCAAGAGCCCACTCAGGGCTGAGCAAGGGCAGGGGAGCCCCACGGGTTGGCGATGTGGGCAGGGTGGCTCGGCTGGCACCCCCCAGCGCAGTCCCGGGCGCACACATGGACACTCCTCTACTCTGCAGATCCCAGCCCCCACCCAAGCACCGGGTCCAGCGGCACCGTGAGCTGTACCTGCGCCTGCTTCTCCGGGGCCAGCAGAGAGTAGAGCGGCAGCACGTGCATGGGCAGGGAGGCGTCCGGCTGCTCTCCTGGGGGCAGAGGGCAGGCGCTGGCACTGGAGACACCCGGGCAGGAGCTACCTCGGGCTGCCAGGGTCAGGGCACCACCCTGCTGCAGGCACCTCACTGTGCCCGAGGCAGGTGCTGTGACCACGGCCCTGTCCAGGCCCACATGCCCACACCGCACGGCCAGCTGCAGTCCCGGCCACATCTGCACAGCAGAAGCCCTGGCTGCCACACGGCTCTGGGATGGACGCAAAGATCACAGGATTCCCTTCTGCTGCTGTTCCCCACAGGGCCTCGCTATGGTCCCCAAACTGGCCTCAAATTCCTGGGCTCAAGCGCTCTTCCTGCTTCAGCCTCCTGAGCACCGAGGCTCCAGGTGCCAGCACCAGCGTGCCGGCCTCAGGTGCTGGGATTGCCCACATACACAGGTCCCCCACACCAAACTGCCTTCCTGCACAGGCAGCCCCGTAACCCTCACACAGCACCTCTGGGGTCCCCACCAGGCAGTGAGAGGGGCGAGGGGAGCCCAGTGAGAAGACAGCCAGAGCCCCCTCTGCAGCAAGGAGCTGGGCCGGGCAGTGCCCATTCTCAGGCAGGCCCTGGGCCCTCCTGCTGTCTCCAGGTGGCAGGACAACAGCAGACGCCTGGGGAAGAAGGGCCCCAGGGGCACGTGGGGCACCAGGCTGCATCCGGGCCCACCTCCAGCCAACCCGCCCTCGTCGTCCCCTAGGTCAAGGTCCAGGTCCGAGCCCAGGGCGGCCTCCTCGTCATCCATCTCCGCCTCTCTGTCCTCGTCAGCCTCGCCCGCCGGCAGCACGGAGTAGCTGTCCAGGCTGATCTGTGGCAGCGTCTGGGGGTGACAGGACAGCAACACAGGGGTCCACTCAGGGGCTGGGGACCCAGCCTTCCAGAAGCTTCCTCCAAATGCGCCGTGGGCCACAGCCCTGTCCAGGGAAGGCGTGGGCCCTGGGGTGCCTCCTGCTGTCCCCCGCAGCCCTGGTGGCCTGTCCTGACTGAGGACCTGGTTCCCATCTCGTTTCTCCCAGACGCAACTGCCACCCAAGCCCCCACCACCACCGGTACCGTGGCTCGAGCCTTCTTTGCCCTGGAGCGAGGTTTCTTAAACCTCCGCATGTCCGGGGCCGAGTCCTGCTCCTCCTCCTCTCCTGCAAAGCGAGGGGTGAAAGAAGAGTCCCGTGGGCAGTGTGGGGACTGCACCCCGATCCACGCCAGAGCCAGGCCAGAGGTGCCAACTGTCCCGGGGGGGGGGCGTGGCCAGGGAACCTTTACCTGAAGGACGTGACCTGGAGGCCGGGAAGGCCCGCCGGAGCCTGCGGCACAGTGCATGCACCTCTGCCTGGCCCGTCAGGAACACCAGGATGCCTCCTGGAGAAAGAACCACCCGGCTGTGATCCAGCAGTCACTCAGCAAACACTTAGGCAAGAGCAACTGCCAGGAGACAGGATGGCGCAGACATGGGTGTGGCAGGAGGCTCCTCCTGGCACCACGAGGAGCAGGGGACAAAGCCTCAGTGCGCCTGGCTGTGCCACCCTCCCCAAAGTGCCAGCTGGCTGCAAGTCTGTTGTGCTTGGAGCCTGGAGGCCGAGCAGGGATGGGGAAGCAGGGCCGGGCCTCGGGCAGCGGGGGCAGCTCCGGCCTCACCTGCGGGCAGCATGCGGTGGATTTTGCACACCTTCCGGAAGCACTCGCCACTGTAGTCCTCCGGCGTGCGCTTGTTGAAGTGCACAGTGACTGGGAACTGCCGAGACTCCACCTGTGGGGTGCCCCCAGTGTGGCTCAGCCCGGCCTGGTGAGCCCTCCCGGGCCCCCGACCCTCCGCTCCCCAGCGCTGAGCTCCCCACCAGGCCTCACCCTGATGACGGGCGGCGGCGAGGCGAAGAGCCGCGGGTTCTGGGTGAAGTCCTCCACACGCAGCGTGGCCGACATCACCAGCAGCTTCAGCGGCCGCTGCCTCTGGGGGAGACAGCCACACAGCCTCAGGCCTGGCCATGGAGGGGACCATCCTGCCCCACCTGACTCGGGACGCCATGTGGGGCTCAGGGGCACCCCACGAACATGGCAGGAAACCCCAGGATCAGGGGGATGGAAGCCAGGCCAGGGTCCCGTGTTACTTCCCTGGAAGCCTCCCCAGCCTGCCCTGGCTCCTCACTGTCCCCCCACGGAAGAATGGGACGCAACCCCGGGAGGATGGTGCAGGCAGGGATGTGGGGATGGACAGGCACTGGCTGGGATGTGCCAAGAGGGAGGCCCAGGACCGCCAGGGGTGATGGGGGCTCTGACAGCGTCCAGGGCCCCAGCCACAGTGCACGGGGAACCCCGGGCTCCAGCCGGCTCCCCACCCCCACCTTGGCGCGCAGGGCCACGATGCGGGACAGCAGGCCGATGAGGATGTCGGTGTAGACACTGCGCTCGTGGGCCTCGTCCACGATGATCACCTTGTACCTTAGCAGCAGGAAGTCCTGCCGGAAGGGCGCACAAGGCCTGAGCACCTGGGGGCCGCTCGAACCACCCATCCCTCCCCGAGCCTCCCTGAGGGAGCTGCACGGTGGCCTCTGCAAGCCAGTTGCAGGGTCTGGGCGGCTGAGGCCTGCAGCTGCACCATGGGAGAGGGCGCTGTGGACCTCTGGGCCCCGAGGCTCAGGCGCCTCCCGCTACGCCGTGCGGCCGGACAGCCTCCAGCCAGGCCCTGCATGCTCTGGGGACACAGGTGTACCCCACATGACCGGCTGGCCCGGCCCCAAACCCTCAGGAGCTCTGGGAGGCAGGAAGGGGGCTGACAGGGGAGGCAGGGCTTGCAGGGCAGGGCAGGGCAGGGCAGGGGGCTGAGGCCAGGACCCGGGGCCTGTCGGTGCCCGGGCAACACAGGGTGTCAGGGCTTACCCGAGGGCCACGAGAACGGCACCCAGGCGCACACTGAAGGGGCCTGCTGTGTGCCAGCGGCTCACACGCAATGCATGACGCCCGCTCCAACACGAGGGGAGGCGGGGGCACCAGGGGACACAAGCTCCGGGAGCCCTCGCCTGCCCGGGGTCACGGCGGCACCCGCTCCCACCGTGCTCCCCACTGTGCTGGCGGGTGCCGGGCTGGCACCCACCTTCTGGATTTCCTTGAGCAGCACGCCGTCCGTCATGAACTTGATCCTGGTTTCCTCGCTCACGTTGCCTTCGTAGCGGATCTGGTAGGAGACGACCCTGTGGGGACAGACGCAGGCTCAGGGCTGGGACCCTGGGCAACTCCAGGGCCCAGGGAGGAGGCCAGGCCTGGAGGGCCCTGGGGACCGAGGCACAGCCCTTCCTCCAGAGCCACGCACAACCCAGGGCAGGGCCCGAGGGTCAGGCTAGTCACACGTGACAGCCAGGGGCCCAGGCTCGTCCGCTGCTCTTTCTACTTCCCCGGGGGGAGCCTAGGGGTTTTCATTCCTGGCACCTTGTGTGCACATGAGCGCGCGCACACACACACACACACACACACACACACACAGTGTGCACATGAGCGCGCACACACACACATGCAGGCAGGTCACCCACTGGGGCTGCCTGCACCGGGCCACCTGCTCAATCCTTGTTTTGCCACAGTGTGATGTGAGCTCCTGCCCGGGGGGCCAGAGGTGTGACACACAGGAAACCCCCGCACAGGGCGCTCCTGGGCCCCCAGCCAAGAGGACAACACCAGCCTGGGACCCAGGCACAGCCTGGCCCTGCCCCTCCCACAAGCCCCAGGGGAACGGAGCCACAGGGCGGCCCGTGACCCTCCCAGTCAGGGGCCTCACCGCTGTGACAGGTTCATCTCCTTGGCCACTCGCTGGGACATGGCCACAGCGGCCACACGGCGAGGCTCGGTGACACCGATGATGCTATTGTTACTGGGGAAGAAAAGGACGTGTCAACTGCGTGGCTGTGTCTCGTGTCCTGGGCCACCTGGAGGTTCAAGTGACAGACACAGTCCACACGGGGTCGAGACAGGAAGTGGACAGCGCAAGGCAGGGTGGTCATGATAGTGGGGGGGTCACATGGGGACGACAGGGCAGCAGGGTCCAGGGAAATCCCCAAGGACTGAAGGCTGCGAGTCCACGCTCACTCAGGGACATGCCCAGTCAAATTTAAAAACCTGTGTTTCTCCGGGCCTGGTGTACAAGCCTGTGACCTCAGCACTCCGGAGGCTGAGGCAGGAGGATCACAGAGCGTTCAAGGCCAGCCTGAACCGCATAGGGAGGAACGGTCTCAAAAACTAAACCAGTGAAGTTTGAAAGCCAGTGCTGAGTGTGCCGAGACCGCACACCCCTACCCTGCAGAGCAAGAAGTGGGGTTCAGAGGGTAACACCACCCTGCAGCCTTTGGGTGGACTGGCAGCGGCCTCCCCTGGATCTCCGGGGATGGGGACTGGGTGAGTGACAGGTGGGCTGAAGGACCCGACATGCAGAACAACACAGTCCACTGCAGACAAGAGGACCTGCTGGGCGGGTGGCCACCTCAGCCTACTGTCACCTCACCCACCCTCCCATGGCCAGCTGGGTACCTCAGCCTTCCATGCCAACTGGGAGGGGGTCCTGCTTCCCTGCAGGCATCAGCGGCCACGGTTCCCCACAGGCAGGGTGAGCCCCGAGCCCCCAAAACCACTGAGTGGGGAGGACGTGGTCAAAGCCATACTAGCAGCTGGCACTGGAGGCTGGGCCTGGCCGGGTGACTGCCCGTCCCCCTGCCACCCCAGCCTCTTCCTGCAGACCACACTGTACCCTTCCACCGTGGCCCTAGGGATGGCCTTGGGAACTGTACAGGGGACACACGGTGACATCAGTAAATGTCACCCCACAGACAGTGGCCAGCCAGGGGCCTCAGCGCTGCATGCATATCTGCCTGTTGCACCGAGGTGACACTCTGGCGTGACCAGCACCACGGCCACGACGTCAAGGCCCAGAGCAGCTCCCCTGGGCTCCCGGCACTAAGCGGCTCAGCCAGGCTGTGGGCAACCTCCCAGGACGGCCACCCCTCACCTGCTGTAGCCGGCCTCATAGAGGAACTGGGGCACCTGCGTGGTCTTCCCGCTGCCCGTCTCGCCGCACACGATGACAATGGGGTGCTCAGCCACCGCCTCCATGATCACCTGCTCCTCGGACAGGATCGGGAGCTGGAGACGCTCGGCCTGGTGGGAAGGACACGGGGCTCAGGACCTGGGCTGGCCGGGCACGTGTGCGTGAGTGCGTGCGTGTGCAGAGGGCAGGGGACAGGAGGGAACTCAGACACAAAACCGTGCGTGGCATGTGGAAGGTGGCAGCCGGCATGTGGGCGGTCACCAGGTGACCACAGCTGGGGGCCACCCTGCTGCCGTCCATGAGGAGGGACAGTCACTGGGAGCCCATGGGTGGGCGAGGGGTAGCCATCCATGTCCAGGGTGTGCGTTCCTCCTGACACACCTGTTTTCTGGTGCTGGGAGGGATGCAGGGCCGCATGCGTTTTGCAGAGACGGGGTCCTGCTAAGGTGCCCCGGGTGGCCTCAACCTTGAGGTCCTCCTGCCCCAGCCTCTGCAGCGGCTGGGCTCACAGGCTCACACTACCGCCTGCAGAGCTGAGGTATGCTCTTCTCCACCCCAGAGGGACACACCTGCATCTCAGGGGTTCGGTTCACGGGGACGAACACTGCAGGCCTGGCGGGGCGCCTGGGCGGGGCAGAGGCTGCAGCTTTCCCAGGAGCTGGGCTGGAGGCTGCAGGGGGCTTTGTGCCGGCTGCTGGGCTCGTGTCCACGGTGGACCCAGGAGGTCCTGCCAGAGGCTGCTCTGTGGTTGCCGTGGCACCAGCCCCAGCCTGGTCCACAGTGGGGGCCTCATCAGGCTCGGAATCTTCAGAGGACTCGGACTGAGACTCAGACTCCTCCTCTGTAGATGGCTGGCGATGGCGCTTGCGGTGGGCTCCGCTCAGGCTGTTGACCCTCTGCTGACCTGGGGCGGACAGCTTATTGGGCCTCCTGTCAGGAAAGCAAGGCCTTGGGACGCCTGCAGTGGCTCTGGGTTGTCCCACTGCAGAGGCCAGGACCTAAAGCCACGCCCCTTCCACCCCAGGGCCTTGACACTTCCTGCCCCAGCCTCCCCACAGCTCAGTTCCCTCAAATGTTCCTGCCACAGGACTATCCCTGACCTCACAGCATGAATCCCCCCTTTCTTCCCTGAACCTGCAGGTCCTAGGAATTCAAATACATGTGCCCGTAAGGGGATGGCACGCCAGTCCCTGAGCCCGAGCTTCTAAACAGAGGGCAGTGACCAGGGCCCCACTCTGTCCCAGAACCCCACACAGCCTGGGTGTCATCTGCCTCTGCTAACAGCTGCCACAGAGACCAAAGAGGTTTCTGCTCACGTGGAAAACTTGCATTTTGTTTGCACTGTGCTCGAACCCAGGCCTTGCACTAGGCAGACAAGCACTCTACTACAGAGCTACAGCCCCAGGCATTTTTGCTTTTATCTTATGGTCCTCCTAAGACACTAAGGAGCCTAGGCTGGGCTTGAACTCACAGCCCTCCTGCTCCACCTCCGAGATGGATGGGATCACAGCCGTGTGCCTCTACATCTTGCTGAAAACTGATTTTTTATTTTTTGAGACAGGGTCTCATTATGCAGTTCAGGTTGCTCTTGAACTCACAGTGATCCTCCTGCATCAGTCTCCCAAGTGCTTGGATTAAAGGTATGTGCCACCAGGCCATCTGAAATATCCTGATTCTTAAATGCTGTCTGGCCAGGCATGGTGGCACATGCCTGTCATCCCAGCATTCAGGAGGCTGAGGTAGGAGGAATGTTGCAAGTTTGAGACCAGCCTGAGCTACAAAGTGAGCTCAAGGCCAGCCTGAATTGCATGGGGAGCTCCTGTCTCAAAAAGACAAAAGTAATTAAACAAAACACTCTCTGTCCTGGGTTAAATGGTGTCCCCACAAATGCATGCGCACCCAGAACCCCAGAAGCTGACTGGACTTGCTAATGGCCCTTGCAGCTGGAGTTCAGATGAAGTTCAGAGGTGCCCACAGCCACCTAGACCACCAGATGTCTGATCCCAACGCGCACACCCTGGTCACTGGTGGGCACTCGGACAAGCGGCACTCACTCTTTGGCCTGGTACATGCGGGTCCCGGTGCCCAGCTTGGACGTCGTATAGAACAGCCGCATCTCGGCCTCGGTCACCTGGACCTCGCCCAGCTTCTGCAGCAGCTCCGCTCTCTGGGAGAGGAAGTGGGGACATGGGCATGTGGTGCTGCGACTCTCCCACGCAGGGGCGTCACACTCGGACCCCAGGAGCCCCCTAAACACACGATCCAGTGGCAACCCCGCCGCTGTGCGTCCTGAGGCCCATGGCCCTCACAGGGCTCTGCACACCCCATGCTGGAAGAGGCTGCAGGGTGGTCCAGGGCCCTGGATTCAGGCCTGCCTGTCCTGCTTTTTTTGTTTTAAGACAGGGTATCACTATGTAGTCTAGGCTGGCCTTGAACTCATGGTGATCCTCCTGGCTCAGCCTCCCCAGTGCTGGGATTATAGGCATGCACCACCGTGCCTGGGCACCAGCTGTCCTATGGAAGTAAACAGCTGCATGTGTGCCCATGTGACTGTCCCCAAGCTATCAATGAAGGATGTAGGCCATGAGCTGGGCCACTGTCTTCTTTTCCGGGGCTACGGGTTAAACCCAGGGCCTTTGCCCTGAGCTATATCACCAGCCCTTTCTTTTCTTTTTTTCAGTTTTGAGACAGGTGCTTGCTATTGGTTCAAGCTGGCCTTGAACTCACTATGTAGCCCAGGCTGGCTTTGACCCTGCGCTGATCTTCCTGCCTCAGCCTCCAGAGTGCTGGGCTTATAAAGGTGCACCACCCCACACTACCGTTCTCATTTGAGACTGGGTCTTGCTAAATTGCTCAGCTTGGGCACAAATTTGAGATCTTTCTCTCTCAGTCTCGCAGAGGCCTGGGATTACAGGTGAGCACCAACACCCCCAGCCCCAGCTCCACCCCTGCTCCCGCTCAGGGAGCTGCACGGCCCGACAGGGACGGCCTACCTGGCTCTTTTTCTCCTTCTGTTCCAAGATCTTCTGCAGCGCCTTCCTCTCCTTCTTGGTCAGCGGCTTCTTCTCCTTCTTGGATGGGGGCGGCGCCTTGCTCTTCTTTTTCTTCTTGCCAGGCAGGACAAGCGCGTTGCTGGCATCCACCCCTTTCAGCACGTCCTCACCTGCAAAGACGCACTGCCTAGCCCTGGATCCCAAAGCCGCAGGTGGGCAGCGGGAAGCTCTCGGCCCCGGGGCCCCTGGGCCCCTGGCTCTGACCCCCTCCTGGCTGCACTCCTAGCTTGGGACCAGGAGACAGAACTATCCTCAGGGCCATCTGTGACGACCGCTGTGCAGAGAGTGTCACAGCCGGGGAGGAGGGAGCTGAGTGTGCAGAGAGAACGGTGCTACGGATCCATAGCACGGGACTTTTAAACGCAGAGGTTGGAAGGCCGGCCACCAGGTTCTGCTTCGGCTCCTCAGACAGGGCTAGCGCTGCCTCAGAGCAGACACCCTGGCCTCCTCTGCAACATTCCCGTGTGAGTGCTGTCGCTTTCTGCAGTAACTGCTCAGCTGTGTGTCATTATTTATGTTACCCACAGCAGAAGGAGCTCGGACCCTAATTAAGTTCCATGCATTTGGGAGGCTGAGGCAGGAGGATCACTGCAAGTTTGAGCCCAGCCTGGGCTACACAGTGAGTGCAAGGCCAGCCTGAACTACTCAGCAAGGCTGTCTCCAAAAAAAGAACCTGTCCATTCTCTGACTCTCAAGTAGCAACCACCAAGTAGTGGTGTAAGACAACTTTCCCCACCTCTCTGGGTCCAAGAACCCTCGGTCCCTCTGCCCTGGCAGCCCCAGTTCGTCCTCAGGGCCCCTGTTCTGAGCCGGGCTGCTGTAACCAGGGCCACTGCCCCCAAGCAGCCCCCAATCTGCTCTGCGATTTCAAGGCATTCTTGTTGGTCAGACACAGCTCCCTCCTCCCCGGCTGTGACAGCAGGCTCCTGCCATGGGTCTCACTTCATAGACGGGCACCCTGAGGCATAAGGACGAGGCGATGCGCCACATTCTCAGCCTAGGCGTGCAGCTCTAAAGGAGGGCACTGACTTCCGAATTCCCGAGCCCGGACACAACAGGTGTTCGACAGACAAGGGTCGGACACGATTGGCGGGCAGACCGGCTCGAGCAGCCAGGCCAGGGCCGAAATTGCAGATGCAGGGGTCAGGCGATGGCAGGGTCTCATCTTCTTCTCCAGATTCCACGCCAGGGGCACCCGGTCGCTGCCCAGTGCTCGGTGTCAACACTAGGCTAACACGGCCCCTCTCCCGGGCTCACCCGAAACGGGGGCGGGGGGATCCGCTCCCGGAACCCGTCCCGCCCGCTGCCAGCCCCGGGCTGCGCCTCCCCGACACTCAGTCCCATCCCGGGCGCTTTACCCTCGAGCTCCAGCCGCACGGGGGGCGGCTCGGGGCCCCCCTTGGAGGGGCCGGGGCCCGCCTGCAGGCGCCCCTTGATGTTGTACCGCCGGCGCAGCTTTCCCATGGCACCTGCGTCCCGCGGTCCCAGGGGGCAGGGCCAGCAGCGCTGCCCGAAGTTCGGCCCACGTGGGTACCCGACCACCACAAGCCGCGAGACTTCCGGGTCGAGCTCTCGCGAGAGCTGGGAATCACCGTAAACCTGGAGGCGTGGCCTAACGCTACGTGGGGGCGGGGAGAACAAGCCTGGGGGCGGGGCCTATTTCATGAAGCGGAGTCCTGCAGTGCAATCAGTTCTAACGCTTATGAATTGAGTTTCCAAATCTGACTTTTGCTGGGCTGGACGCTTGGAATAGAGTGTTTCATTTGCTTTTAAAGCCTTGGGGCTGGGGATTTAGCTCAGCGGCGTAAGCGCCTGCCTTGCAAGCAGGCGGTCGTGAGTTCGATCCCTGGTACCGATAAAAAGGAAAAAGACAAAAAAAAGAAAGAAAGAAATCTTATAAAATAAAGCCTTGCCGGGCGTGGTGGGGTGAACTACATGGCGAGACCCTGTCTCAAAGAGACTAAGTAAATAAAATAAAACCCGTGGTGGTCCATGTGGTCCATGCCTGTCATCCCAGCACTCAGGAGGCTGCTGAGGCAGGAGGGTCACTGGGCATTCAAGACCATCTTGGACTACATAGTGAGTTCTAGGCCAGTCTGAGCTACGTGGAGAGACCCTATCTCCAAATAATAATAATAATATAATAAATAACCTATAAAAATATAAAATATATATGACCCCAATACAAACTTCCCCATCCTCATTCTGATTTTCTGGTATTGCTGCAAATACGTGTTTGCATAGATACAAATGTATTAGTTGTGTGTAAAGGCACCAGAAGGCAGCTACTAGGTTAAAACTCTCATTAAGGCATTATGTTGAGAATAGAAGGGTTACATTGTAGCACATTTTCCAGCAACTGCATTAGTTAGTTGAGGGCAAACTTTTTTGGGGAGGGGGGGAGATACAGTCTCACTGTATAGCTCAAGCTAGCTCTGAACTCATGGTTATCCTCCTGCCTCAGCCTCCCAAGTACCCATGAGCCACCATAAATAAAGATTTATTTTTAAATCTTTTCCATTTTTTATTTTCTATTAATACCTGTTGCAGTACATACTGATCACATTCGTGAAGGAATCAATACATGAACGCAACACGTCTTCATTCTGTTTTTATCTCCTCTCTGGGGGGGAGGGGTGACATGCTGGGCTCATGCCTGCAATCCCAGCATTCTGGAGACTGAGGCAGGTGGATTCTCATAAGTCTAAGACCATTTTGTACTATATAGTGAGACCATTTGAAAAAAAAAAAAAAGAAAGAAAAGAAAGATTTTTGTTTCACTTTCATTTTTTGAAATAAAGTCTCACTCTGTAGTTTCGTCTGACCTTGAAGGAGCAACCCTTTGTCTCTGCCTCCAGAGTACTAGGATTACAGGTGTCCACCACCACCACACTGCACGGAAGAGCTCAGTTTATTTACTTATTTATTCTTATCAGTACCGGGGAATCGAACTCACGGCCATGCGCTTTGCAAAGCAGGCGCTTATGCCTGCTGAGCTAAATCCCCAGCCCCTACTTATTTATTTTAAGTCAGAGTCTTGCTATGTAGTTCAGCCTTGGACTCACTGTGTAGCCCAAGCTGGGCACAAACTCACGGAGATCCTCCGGCATCATCCTCCTGAGTGCTGGGATTACAGGTGTACACCACCACGCGGGCAGCTGGCCCTCCCGTCCCCTCCGTGGCTCTCAGCTGGCGGCCCTTGACCCCTCCCCACCAGCTGTCCCACTCTCCCCAGCTGACCCGCCCCACTTGCACCCATGAGCCACAGGCCCTGCAGCCCAGAGAGCAGGTCCCGCGTGAGAACTCACCTCTGAGGAGCGAAAGTCCGTAATGGCTACATTTTTGATGACAGGGTGGCTGGTGCCAAGCCACTGTGCAACACACCCGCTTCACCAGTGCTGAGCTCTGGGAGAGAGAGGAGCCCTAGTACCAGACCCTGGAGTCAGGGGTACAGCTGGGCCTCGCACCCCCTGGTGGTGGTCCACAGGCCCTCCTTGCCCGGGTCCCGGGAGACAGGAACGCTGCTGGGTCCAGGACGCCAGGACAGGCTCTTTTCCTACTCCTGGGGACCCCAGAGCTCAGTACTGGACTCACTTGCCTTTGAATGGGGGGGGGGGCAGGAGGGGTCCCCGAGCTTGCCTCTGCCATCGGTATACTTGGAGCATCTTGCCTCATAGTTTAGAGGTGTCCCCACCATGGGCCTCAGGCAACACTTGAGAGACCAGAAGCCTGAGAAGGGAGGACTGTCACAGCCCGCAGATGACCCCCATCTCAGCTCCAGGGAGGGACTATCCGACCAAAGTGCTTTTACTTTGTCATGTGTGTGTTAAGACAGGGTCTCAGTACGCAGTTCAAGCTGGCCTTGAACTCACTTTGTAGATCAGGCTGGTCTCAAACTCTCAACGATCCTCCCGCCTCAGCCTCCCACTGCTGGGAGGACAGGTGTGCACCACCACGCCTGGCCCTAAGTACTGTTAAAACTCTCGGTTGTTTAGCAAAGAGGCGTTGTGGAGTGTCCCAAGGTAAGGCCTAGATTCCTCAACAAAGGTGACCTCGCTGGGGCTCTTTCTAACATGGGGACAGAGATACCTGTTATGGCTGTGTCTAGATGGCCCCTCAAAGCCTCAGGTGGTCATAGGTGGGGCTTTCCAGAGGTGACTAGACGTGAGTGTGTACGCTGGGATTAAGGTTGTGTGATCAAGGGTGTCAGGCAAGGGGCTTCGTTCCCCAGGAGAGCACAGCTTGGGGGTCTCCCACAGTCCTGTGAGGCTCCAGGGGCACTTGTGAAGGACTGGAGAAAGGCTCCCTAAACACCAGGCCACCCGTATGGAAACCCAGACAACTCTTCTCAGGCTTCCACAGCTCTGACCCTGGCCTCTCTCCTCCCAGCTCACCGGTGGGGAGCAGAACCCTGCAAGCCCACTGCTGCCTGTGAGGGACCGGCCATTGATGGGGACGGCCAGCAGGAAGTCCGGCATAGCAGCAATTTCATAAAGGGGGGCATGGGGAGGGCAGGGTATGCCACGACTGCCCTGCCCAGGTCACTGAAGTGAGGTTCCCCCTCCCCGACTTCCCCCCAAAACATAGACTGGGTGGCCCTAGCCCAGGCTGCCGACCTGCCGGGGATAAGAAGGTCCACAGAGGAAAGAGAAACCCTCCCCCCAGCCTCGGGCTTCTCCATCACCGCTCACCGTGGGCATGCTGGCCACACGTTCCAGTGTGACCTCTCCCCTCTGGGTCTTGTCTTTTCAGGTGGGTCCCCTTGGGCAGCTCCAGGATCATGCTCAGGGAGATGATGGTCACCTCCGTGGCTGCCCTGTGGGATTCCCTGAACCCCAGCCTGGCCAGGGACTGCTGGCCATGGCTTCCCCCACTTTCCACCCCAGCTCGACTCTGAATTATTATTTTTTTTTATTGGTACCGGGGATCGAACTCACGACTGCCTGCTTGCAAGGCAGGTGCTTATACCCTGAGCTAAATCCCCAGCCCCCCAGCTCAACTTTGAACCACTGATAGGTGCCCTCCCACTGCACACGTCAAGGCTACCATCCTTGTCAATGTCCCTGACAGCTGCTGTGATCCTCCTGTCCCTGAAAAGGCCAGAACATCTGATCAGGGAGGGTTTCTTCCCTCCCAGGATCCCATCCCAGTGACACTCTGGGGTTTCTTCTGAAAGGGTTTTGGCCCAGGCCAGACACTGCAGCCGGTAAAGCCAGGGAGCTCCTATCTCCCCTCCCTTAGGAATGTACCTCTGGCGCCAAACTAAGACCAATGGGTTACCTGTGCATCCCTAATGCCCCCTTGGGTTTCACCCCAGGCCGAGGCTACTTATGTGCCTCACTCCATGTGTTCCACGGAGAGATCGCCAACCCTGGGGTGGAGATGCCACACCCCATGGGGTCGGGGTGTCTCTCCCCGCATTCTCAAAATAAAGGTCATTTATATTTCATACTTCTTATCTTTTCAGCCGCCGCCGGTCCCCCACAGTTCTATCATCTTCCACAAAGCCCCCCACTTGAAGTTCCTGGTCCTCCCAGGGTAAAGAGGACTCAAGGTGGGGCTGGCAGCTGGGGACTTAGCTCAGTGCCAAAAGCACCTGCCTGGCATGTACAAGGTTATGAGCTCCATCCCTGGTACAAAAAAATTAAAGGATAACAAGACAGGGTTGGAGTTAAGATTTGGGGACATCACAATTCCCTCTGCGAACACAGCCTCAGAATATCACCTCCAGCCAGGCAGGGTCCGGGGAGGCCGGGCCTCACCCTGCAGAGTGCTGTGGTTCCTGCCTCTGCACCCACAGCGGGGACAGTGGCCTCCAGGTGAGTTTCCGGGTCCTCAGGTGGATCACGCTCAGCTCCCCACCGGCAACTGTGTGCTGGTGCCTGGTGATGGAAACTGGAAAAGTGTTGGTGGGAACGAGAGCTCCGGAGCCTTGCACACTTGTTCTGGGCCCCTTCAGCCTCTGCGGGCAGCTGCACCGCCAGGGACTCCATCCGGCCTGGAGAATGAAACCAGTCAGCTCACCGTTTAACCCGTGGAGAATGATCTCCGCATGGAGCCTGGAGACTTTCTTCCTGCGTGGCACTGATTCCCCCTTGCCCAGCAAACCGGGCAGGAACCTGCACTCTCCTTGATCTGGCCCTGGAGATCAACCTAGCACCAAGTACCCGACTCCCTCTGGTTCCTTTAGCCACTGAGACAAGGAGCCAGCAAGCCACAGAGCTCAGTCCTCTCCTGTGGGTCTCAAGGCGCCCGAAGGGGAGGCTCACCGCTCCCTCCCCTCGGTGGCAGCAGCCTCTGAGGACCTGACAAAAGCCGGGGTGCAGGGCCCTGGGCCTCCAGACTTGCACATTTGCTGGCACGGTGGCCCTAGGAATCCCCAGGGGACTGGGACTCCAGACGCTGAAATCGGGGGCTGAGAAGAACTTGGGTTCCATGCGGAGCAGCCAGGGATGGTGAGGAGCGGGCCTGCGGGGGCTGGGTCGCCTGCTGCTCGAGCTTGGAATGGGCACCTTGGTCACGGCCCTCATGAGAGCCCCTCATAGCCTACGAGGACCACACCCTACCAAGTTAGCTTCTTCTTGTTAACGGCCATCAAACTGTAGCTGAGGATGACCCAGGCGCCCAAACCGTCTGCATCCCTGGAGCGCACCACGGAGGCCTCCCAGCAGACCAGGAGGACCAGGGCTCCGGGGTCCCCACCCCGACTCAGCAGGCAGCGGCTGGAGAAGAGGACAGGGAGGGGGCCCCTCAGCACCCCGGGGGAGTGATACAGACAGTGGAACTGAGGCTCCTGCCCCCTCCTCTCCATTCACCTGGACCTGGGCGGCGGCCCACAACCAACTCTTACCCGCAGGTTTGGTACGCAGGGGCAGAGCTAAGAAAAGCCCGCCCTGGAAAATTCCCAAACGCCAGCCCAGGACGCATGCGTGCTGGCCCTGGCGGCGTGCCCTACAGTGACCTCTCCTCACCGGAGTCGCTGAAGGTCAGGCACCCCTGCCGTCAGGGGCTTCGCGGGAAGGGACTTGGGGAGAGGAGCAGGTGGAGGAGTCCTCGGCCTTGGATCACACTGTCAATCACGCTCTAAAGCCCCGCCCCCAGGTTCCTGGAACCCGAGCCTACAGTTTAAGCCACGTAGCTTTTGCAGCTGCGAGCTGGCTCTCTCCGGCTGGCTGTCTATCGCCTTGGTAACCTTTGCTGGTTTTACCGACCTTCGTGTGCGCTGCCGCTCTCCGTTGATTGTGCACGAGAATCTAGGACCCTGTCGCCAATCCCATGATCCACGTCAAGGCCGAGCACACCTTGGTCCTAATTTAACTGTTTTTCAGTAGCAGGGATTGGTCCCAGGACCTTCACACTGAGCCTCATCTCCAGCCCTTTTTAGTTTATTTAGTTTTTTGAGACTGTGTCTGGCTAAGTCACTAAGTTATCTGGGTTGGGCTTGAACTTGGAATCCTCTTGCCTCAGCTTCCCAGTGTGTCCATGTTATGGTGCATGCCACCACGGACACGTCTGAACTTAACTTTTTTTGAGACAGGGCCTTGCTGTGCAGTGCAGGCTGGTTTAAACTCACTCTGTATCCCGGGCTGGGCTCTAATTTCAGCGATCTTCTGGCTCAGCCTCCTAAGTGCTGGGTTTCCAGGCCTGTGCCACCACACCTGGCTTGATCCTAATATTTTAAAAATGAAAACCTTGTTTTAGAGGACAGGCATGATGGCATGTGGCTGTAATTCCAACACTCCTGGAGGCTGAGGCAGGAAGATTGCAAATTCAAGTCCCACCTACACCACTTATTGAGACTTTCTCTCAGAATAAAAAATATAAAGCTGGGTATGTGGCTGAGTGTTCCCTGGGTTCCCTCCCCACGACCACACACACACACACACACACGTGCGTGTGCGCGCACACACTCATTGAAATTAATGTGTAAGTTTTTAAAACCTTCATATGTCTCCTGCTTGCATCCTGACCTGTACCATGTGCAAGTCTGTGTTTTGTGTTTGCTCCTTGGGTTTTTCTGCAGAGGAGAAAGGAGCTGATCTGAATTCATTCTCAGTCTCCCTTGGTTCATCCATTCATTATTCTAGGTTCTGCATACACTTTTTTTTTTTTTAGAGAATTGTAATGTTTTTAGGAAATTATTTATTTGAGACAGGACCTCGATGTGTAGTCCAGGCGGCCTCAACCTGATGCAATCCTCCTGCTTCAGCCTGTCGATGGCTGGGATTGCAGGCCAGCTTGGACTACACAGGAAGGCCTATCTAGCCGGGTCCCTGTCCCCAGATAATCTTTTCCATTGTTTGGAGTAGCAAAATCTAGGCTTTGTTTTGTTTGTCTGCCTTACTTGGTTTGCTTCCCGGTGTGTAGGGGAGACAAACATTTCTGGTTCCCATCCGAAGTTTCTGTCATCCGGTCTGTGGCATAAACTGACCGTGGACAGAAAGGTGTGTAATTCCTGCCTGAGCAAAGGCGTCCCACAGCGAGGGCGGGATCGCAGAGTGAAAGGTCGCCTTAGCTGTCCAGGAGGAAGGGAAGCCCGTGGCCAGGCCCAGCAGGACTGCAGAGGCCCCCCAGATAAGGAGCTTGCCCAAAGCCCTTCCCTGTCCCCCGCCCCCGTAGCGGTAATCAGCCAACCAAAGTAGCAAATTTTGGGGCGCTATTTCTGGGAGTTTCTCTGATGCAAACAAGGAACTCGCATGGGCTGCGGCCACGGGGATCTGAGGTCCCCAAAGCCGATCGCCTCCTCTTGCTCCGCCTGTGCACCGCCGGCAGGGTGCAAGCTTCCTGGGTTCGCGTTTTCCCTCCACCCCCACACGGAGTGCAAACTTGGGGCCCGCGCGGCACCAGGTGACGCTGGTCCTTCCCGACCCGGCTCCCGCCTGCTCTTCGGACTCCCCGGATCCCCCACAGGGAATGACTTTCCAACTCTCTCAGCCCCTGCCGAGTATTAGCTGAAGTTCTGTCCATTCCGTGGCTCCGAGGTGCCGTGAGCTTGAAGGGGGGCAGGAGGATGGGATGGCCGAGCTCGGGGTACCCTACTAAGTTTCGGGTATCCTACTAAGAACCCGGCAGAGTAGGCCCCCTGTGTTTCACGTCGCCCCATAAATTGCGGTTATTGACCTTGCCAAGGCTGTTGCAAGTTTTACAGGCAAGGGTTGTTTTTTGCGGTAAGGTTAAAAATAAACCTATTTTGCGAAAAACGAGGGGAGAAAGCTCCTGCGAGCCGGGGACAGCTTCCGGGGGGCGGAACGCAAGGGGCGTGCCGTGGGCGGGGCATAGACGCGCCAGGCGTGGGGCGGGAGTGGGCGGTGCGCGCCGCGAGGGGGCGGGGAAGGGGCGGGGACTACCCGAGGTACGGGGTGGAGCTCGTCCCTGCGGGGCGGTCCGGGGGCGGGGACAGGGCTGCGCGGGGCGGGGCCGGGCGCGGCGGCGGCGGCGGCGGCGAGGACAGAGGCGGGCACATCTCCGCGAGCGGTTGCAACGCGCCAACCTGGTCCCGGCCCGAGCCCTCGGCGTCCTCACCCCGCGCGGCGATCGCACCTCTGGCGAGCATGGGCGCGTGCACCTCGGGCGGGCCGGAGACCCGGGCCAGGCTCCTGCTGCTGCTCCTGCTGCTGGGGCTGCTGGCTCCGGGCGCGCGGAGCGCGCGGGGCCGCGGCGGCACGGAGAAGAACAGCTACCGCCGCGCGGCCAACACCTTCTCGCAGAGCGTCAGCAGCCTCTTCGGCGAGGACAACGTGCGCGCCGCCCAGAAGGTGGGCGCCGGGCCGCGCTCGCCCGCTGGCCCTCCTGCGGTCACCTTGCCCGGCCGCCCGCACCTGCGCCTGGGCCGGCTGGGCCGTGCGCGGCCTCGGGGCGGCGGGGACGAGCGGGGCCGATCGGGGACGGGTCCGGGCTGGGGGACGGCGGGGGGCCGCGGTGGGGGAGTCCGGGGTCCGCGGGGACTGGGGTACAGGGCCGGGTACCCGCGCGCGCGCGCGCGCTCATTCATTCTCGCGCCTGAATGGCCCACTGTGCGCCAGGCGCCCTAGGCCGCAGCGCCTGCCGGGGACGCGGGCTGCTCCGGCTGGGCTCAGGGGAGGAAAGGAGGGCCTCTCCTCCTGCGCGGTGGCCATGGACCCCGGCGCTTGCTGTGTGCGTGTCCTCGAAGCCGCAGCCAGCGGTGTACTCGGCGTGGAACTGCCGGTGGAGCGCGGAAGCCCCTGCCACCCCCACCCCCACCCTGGAGCGAAACGGGTAGGTGCGCCACTCCGGGCCAAAGCTCACGTCCAGGTCCCGATAAAGGGGAAGTAGATGGGCACAGGCAGGTTGCCAGCGGTAATTCATGCCCACGCCGTTCCAGCCCCTGTTGATTCCTTTGCTCTGCTCGCCTTGGGGTTCTGGAGTGGAGAAGTTGGGGGTCAGGTCGGGGTTCTCCCGTTGAAGCAGGGTGGCACGTGGTTTCATTTTTTTAAAGCCTCAGTTTGTTTACCTGTTAAATGGGCATGGTAGTAATGCCTCATTCATGCTGCGTTGTGATTATGACTAATTGGTCCTTCCTGTCTACAATTATGTCTAGATTGGTGTCTGCTCTTGGAATTTCCTAGCCAGGGTGCAAATTCATATGGCTTAGGCCCTGAGGGAGGACTCCAGGGGTTAAGAAGAAAAAAGTTTTTTGGCCCTTGGGATGGAGAGGGGAGAGAATGTTAAAATCCTAAATCAGGCCAGGCTTGGTGGTGCACACCTGTAATCTCAGCCACTTGGGAGGCTGAGGCAAGAGGATCAAAAGTTGGAGTCCAGCCTGGCCACTTAGAAAGGTCCTGTCTCAAAATTAAGAAGTAGAAAAAAATCGGACTGGGGATGTAGCTGGGTCTTAGAGCAGTGTACCCGGGGCCTGGGATTCAGTCCCCAGCACTGCAGAAAGACAAACCAAACCAACCTGAAAAAACCCAGAACCAATCAGATTGGCTCAATAGTTTTATTGGGATAAATAAAGACAGTAAAGTTGTCAGGAAAACCAGCTTCTGCCCACCATCTCCTGGGAGTGCGGACTGGGCCTGAGATGTCCTTCTGACATTAGGAAATGTCAGGGGAGGTCTTTGTAGGTGACCAAGGGGCCAGGACGCAGTGTGGCTTGAGGGCCCTGTGTGCCCCGACCTCAGTGTCCCCTGTCCCAGCCCTAGGAAGGAAGGAAGTGAAGTCTGCCCTTTGCACCGGGTGCCCTTGAGGGGCCCAGCTCCCCACTGTGGGCTCCAGCTGAGACCCAGGTCTAGGGCCTGAGGACAAAAGGGTCAGTCCAGGCTTTGACCTCTGGCGGTGTCAGTGCAGCTGCTGTATTCCAGGGTTTATGTCTTCAGCGGAGATCATGGTACATTGGCTGAAAAGCTGCCAAGTGTTTTGGGGTTTTTTGTTTTTTGTTTTTCTGAGACAGGATCGTTGTGTTGCCCATCCTGGCTGTACTCTTGGCAGTCCTCCTGCCTCGGCCTCCAGAGTGCTGGTATCATAGATGTGTGCCAAGAGGCCTGGATAGTTTTTTAGTAATGTAATGAAAGGGGACATGAGGCCCAGCAGCTGTGGTTTGTGTGGGTCTGGTTTCACTGAGTGGAGCTTGACAAACCTGTGGATCGTGACCTTTGAGTGTGTTTGGAGAAACCCCCAGTGTGACCCAGGGCTTGTCCAGCGCCTGCCTGTGTCTGTATGCAGCTCGGGCCTTGCAGGCTGAGGACTGGGGTCTGCCTCTCCTGAGCGCTGTGACCTTGGAGACTTCAGTGGGATTAGTGGGTGTGTGGTGCTAGGCGCCCAGAGTTTGTGCAGAGGAGGGCAGGAAATGCTTGTACCTGGAAGGCATTTTTTCGTGGAGAGTGTTTTGTTCAATCGTTGGAAAATTATTATGGGCTGGGTTGTGTGTGGCTTTGTGAGAGCAAACACCCAGCTTACTGTAGGAGTCTCTGCATTCAATCCCTCGCACCCAAAAAATAAAGTAAAAATTCTTACCCCAGCATGGTAGTGCACACTTGTGATCCGAGCACTTGGGAGGCTGAGGCAGGAGTATCTCTCCACAGAGAGTTCAAGGCCAACCTGGACTACCTAGCTAGACTGTCTCAGAAGTCAAAAAAGTAAAATAAAATAAACAAGTAGTTGGTAGAGGACTGTCCACAGCAGCACCAGAAAACAGATGGAGGAGGGAAGGGCGGAATGTGATCGCCTGAGTAATGGGACGCCATTGGAGCCTTGAACCCAGACTTCTGGTCCCCCTGGCTCAGGGCAGGCTCAGGGGTGCCTCGAGGGGCTGGCCTTGGCTGGTGAGGCCGGGAAACTGTTCCCGGGGTCAGCCCAGTGCTGTAATACTTGGCTGCATCCCTTGCCCATCTCCCTCCCTGGCCAGAGCAGGACTTGAACTTGACTCTCCTGCCTCAGCCTCCCGCAGTGCTAGGATTCCAGGCAGGTAGCACCATAGCCGGCTGAACTGTGCGCGCCTTAAAACGGTGAATTCATAAACATTGGGGTGTATTTCACAGTTAAAAACAACTGAACACACCCAGCAATAATTAAACACAAGCCAGACTGGGGCTCAGGCTCTGGAGTGGGAAATCAATTGGAAATCAAAGACGAGCTCATGTCCCGGCCCCCTGAGGGAGTGACGGTTGGTGACGTGGGCAGTTTGCTCTGTTCTGAGGCAGTGTCTTCTGCCATGCATTTCAGGCTGGCTTTGAATTCTACATAACCCAGGCTGACCTCGAACTCGCGGCGATCCTCCTGCCTCAGCCTCCTGAAGGTGGGATGGGCCTTGCTTCAGCTTAGCATACTGAATGCTGTGGTGAGAGGCTCTAGTGTTATGGTTTCCATTGCAGATGAGGAAGTTGAGGGGCAGGAAAGTTGCCTCTCTCCCCGGGGCTTGGCGGACCCCATCCAGACCACCAGGCTGAAGCACAGCCACGCTCTGCCTGTTTCTTTGGCCACACTTGTGTGGAATCCGATTCCATAATTCGGCTGTTTACAGATCTGGCCCGGTGCTGTGGTGCACGCCTGTAACCCCTGCACTTGGGAGGCTGAGGCAGGAGGATCCTTTTGAGTTTGAGGCCAGCCTGGGCTACATATGGAGATCCTATCTCAAAATAGCTAAAAAAAAAAGCAAAAAAATCTTCCCACCCCGCCCCGTCTCCCACCCACTGCCCTGGTGTAGGAACTGTCACAGCGGACGGACGCGCACCTGGGAGAGATCTGGAGCCGGGCGGGTCTGTGCCCCAGAAGTCCCTCAGGGCTCCCCAAGGTCGCTGGCACCTCAAGGTCACCCTCTGCTGACTGCTGGGCACAGGACATTGCCGGCTCCCTGGACTTGAAACCCAGCCCGGCTCCACCCATGGCAGTGCCCGCAGCTACTCCAGCGTCCCCGCCCCCTGGGGCTGCCCTGGGACCCACCCACGCAGACTCGGGTGGGGATCTTCTCTGGCTGCCCCCCTTTTGTGTCCTTGGTCATTTGTTTTTCAAAAAGCTTGCCTTTCGTGCCCCTCGCCAGAAAATGCTTTGTGCAAAATGGCTCAGCCGGACCTCTGGCCGCAACCTGTTCCCCAGGCTCCCCAGGTCTCCCGGGCACCCCAAGTTCATCCAGGGCCGACGTTGCTGCGGCAGGAGGAACCAGGCTGCTTCCTTTTTTTTTTTTTTTTTGCAAAGTTTTGAAACACCTGCAAGTTGAAAGCTTAGAACAAGAGCAGCTGCAGACCTGTCCTCCGTACTCAGAAGTGTTCTCAGCAGGCCACCAACGCTCTTAAAAAAACTTCCCTGAGCTCCTGGAAAGTCAGCGCAAAGGGTGTGTGTGCATTCCTTCGAGCCCAGCACTCTGGAGACTGAGGCAGGAGGATTGCTGGGAGTTCAAGGCCAGCCTGAACCACATCCCTCGAGGCCCTTTGCTGGGCTCAAACTCACGGTGATCCTCCTGCCTCAGCCTCCTGCTGTGATCACAGGCGTGCGCCACCTCTTCTAACAATGATCATTTCTAATATGTGTTCCGTGTTCGAATTTCAAAATCTAACACCTGACCGAAGAGAAGAGTGCAGGTTGCTTTTGGCTTTCAGTTTTTCTGTTTTCACGCTCGGCTACCTCCCCGCCCTTTCTGCTTTTTAGTTTTGAGACAGGGTCTCGGTGATTGCCCACACTGGACTTGAACTTGGCAGTCCTCCTGCCTCAGCCTCCAGACTGCTGGGGTTACAAGCCTGCACTACATGCCTGGCTGCATGCCAGCCTTTCCTGTGTTGTATTGGAGATAGGGTGTCACCAAGTTGCCTAGGTTGGCCTGGAACCTGCAGTCCTCCTGCCTCAGCCTCCCAAGGACCTGAGGTCACATTTGATTTTTATTATCTCTTTGGTGTGACAGAACCCTGCTTTGGGACGTGGGCATTTTGTGGGGCCACCCCAGGTGTTTGTCCTGAGGTTGGGGTGGCCGCTTTATTGAACGGTGATGGCTCAGGGGCCACGCAGCTCGTGGTGGCTTTTCCTATAGTCCTGCCCGGATCCAGCCAGTCCCTGTGAACTTTAGAACATTTTCCTCACCCCATGGGGAACCCTCTCCCCTTTCACCCGCATCCCAGCCTCAGGCGAGCCCCGGTTGGCATCACCGCGTGTGTGCATAGGATTGTGTAACGTGCTTCTCCGTGGCTGCCCTGTCACCTGGTGTGGAGTTTGAGGCTCATCCGTGTTGTGCATGGAGAGTTTTCTTTTTGAGACAGGGTCTCTCTATGCAGCCCAGGCTGGCCTCAAGCTCACAGCCACCCTCCGCCTCAGCCTCCCAAGACTGGGATTACAGGAGTGCACCACCAGTGGGCCTGTGGGCGCGGCCTACCTCACTGGCCTACAGTTGACACAGTCACCCCTGTGAGACCTGTCAGTTCTGGGGTGCAGGGTCCACTCTGCACTCTGGGGACGCACCCAGCCCATGTCACTCCCTGGAGTGACTGACTGCATGAGGCCAGGTGCCTGCTGCTGTGTCCAAGGGGACAGCAGATTTCCCAGTGAGCAGCTAGCAGGGCAGAGGCCGCCAGCTTGCACCAGTGTTGGAGCCCACGGGGCAGCTTAGTGACTAGTGAGACCTTGGCTCAAAAGACACGGCCTGGTGGGAAGGCCCCGGGTTCAGGGTTCAGGCCCCAGCGCTAGAATCAGAAACAGAAACCCCAGCAGGGCGTCGGGCGCTCCCTGCCGTTTTCTGGTCCTGGGCTGGGTTCACTCTGGGCCCTGTCTTCCTGCCAGGAAGACGGAGGCTGAGCTGCTGGAGCAGCTGTGTGGACGCAGCCCTGCAGTGGCCGCCTGTGTCCCCTGGGCGGTGACCTCGCTGCCCTTCCCTCTTTGGGGCCTCTGGCTCTCCTTCGCTGGCACGAAGTGTCACACTCACAGTGCAAGTGTGTGCAAGGTACACAGACATCCAGGATGCGCTGGACCTGACAGTGTGATGCACACTTGTAATCCTCGAACCCTGGGAGGCTGAGGCGGGAGGGTCCCAAATTCAAGTCCATCCTGGGCAACTTAAGCAAGATCCTGTCTTCCAACAAACAAAATAGAAGGCGCAGGGGGTGCAGCTCAGAAGCAGTACTCTTGCCTCACTGCAAAACCCTGTGTCCAATCTCCAACACTAGGGAGGAAAAAAGCAGAATCAGAACATTGGTTCCAGCCGGGCATGGTGGTGCACGCCTGTATCCCAGCACTCAGGAGGCTGAGGCAGGAGGATCACCATGAGTTCAAGGCCAGCCTGAACACTGGGAAGGCTAGGGGAACCCGCAGAGGCCCGGAATAGGGCACTTGTCCCCTAGAGGTCAGTCTCCATGGAGCTGGGAGAACCCTGGTTTTAGACCTCAGCCCTTTCCCTTAAAGGAAAGAGAGCCACCTCCAGGGGCAACTGGTTGGGGGCAGAAACTTGTTTAAAAATGTGAAGCTGGGTAGAGGAAAGCAGAGACCCTGAGCAAGAGCAGCACATGGGACGGTTTGGGAGATGGCAAGCGTCATGCAGCCACTTTGCAGGTTGTACCTGCTTGGAGATGCTGCCTGGTCTGTGGCATCCTTAGCCAAGCTCACCTTCCTCCCCTGGCCTGCTGGACCCCTCCTGTGGCCCCCAGACACACACTGCCCTTCCTCCCCCTGGAGAAGTTCGGGGACCGGGACGGGCAGGTGGCTGGTGGCTCTGGAGTGACCATCTCCTCACCCCTGCAGTTCCTGGGCAGGCTGACCGAGCGGTTCGTGCTGGGTGTGGATCTGTTCTTGGAGGCTGTGTGGAAGGTGTGGACAGAGCTCTTGGACGTCCTTGGCCTTGACGGTAGGTGCCAGACACTGGCGCGAGGAGGCGCCTCTCCTAGGCCACTCGGGATATGGGAGGGCTCGGGGTCGGGCCTGGGGACCCATGAGCTTGTCTGTTAGTTTGGTGCTGGGCATCGAACCCAGGGCCACTATATGGACCTACTTCCCCAGCCCGCTTTAAACACTTTAAAATCTTTGCTGCAGACTCTTAGCAAGACGCTCGGTTCCCCAGGCCGGGCTCACACTCCTGAGTCTCCTGCCTCGGCCTCCCGGAGTGCTGGTGTGGCAGGTGTGCGGCGCCTGTGCCCAGCTCTTTTATTCTAGTGAGTGGCTGCGGAAGCTGCTATTTCAGACCGGGCATGGCGTGTGTGCCCACAGTCCCTGCCTGGGAGGCTGAAGCAGGAGGATCACGGAGCTGGGCCCTGTGGACCATGTAGTGAGTGAGGCCCTGTCTCAAAAAAACAAAAGATGTGAATTTGTTTTGCTTATACTACCCAGCTTCCCTTTGCCACTAAAAAGAAACCGATCCTTTCACTGGCTTGTTTCTTCTTGGTGAGAGAGCGGCTCTTTTGTCCGTGATTTTGGCCCTTTTAGGACTGTGGCGCACAGGGAGTTGGTTCTGTTACACCCTAATTATCCTGGGATGAAATTTTGTTTGTGTTTCAGTTCAAAGAGGAAGAGTATTACTTGCATTTTCTGTGTTAATAACTCATATGACATTAAAATAAAAAATGTTAAAAAAGTAACCACCCCACCCGTCCCCAAACCCAGAAAAAAACTGAGCCGGGTGTGGTGGTGCACTCTGTGATCCCAGCACTCGGGAGGCTGAAGCAGGAGGATCTATGTGCGTTTGAGGCCAGCCTGGGCCACACAGCAAAACGAAAACAGGAAAAGTGGGAGGTTGGGGCACAGGGATGGAGACGCACTGTCAGGGACAGAGTTGGACCCTGGGGCCACCGAAGTAGGATGGCTGAAGGTCCCTCCTACAGTTATAAACAGCCCCGATTTATACCTGGGCCTCCAAGACTTGGGCCGCGTGCCTGTCAGAGGCTAGCCGGGGGGCTGGTTTATTTATTTGTTTCTTTGTTTTGAGGCAGGGTCCCGGTGTGTAGGTTTGTAGCCCGGGCTGGCCTGGCACTCACCACCACACCGGCAGGTGGGGTGGGTAAAGCAGACGGGAATTAGCAGAGCCCTGGTCTCGGGTCCCCTGCGGAGCAGAGGCCGGGCACGGGTGCACTTGCCTGCTGATGGCATCACTGTCACCCGGGAGCCGCGGCCTGAGGCTCAGCCCCAGGAACACCAGCCCTCAGGGACGAGGCTGAGTCAACACGCCGCCCGGATTTGCCAACTGTGTGCAGCTGAGCCCGGCAGGCCCTCCTGACCCACGAGCCCGAGGCACCGCCAGTGCCTGGGAGAACAGAGCGGCCCCGTGGGCTCCCCAGGTCCCAGCAGTCACATCCCGGACAGAGTGGGGCTGCGGATTGTGACGAGCCTGCAGCAAACGTTTATCCTTTCAGTTTTGGTCTTCCTAAGGCAGGGTCTCTATGCAGACGAGGCGGCCTTAACCTCCTTTGTAGCCCAGGCTGGTCTCGAACTCACAGCCATCCTCTTGCCTCAGCCTCCCGGGTGCTGGACTCACCCCGGCTTTCGAAGAGCACTAAGGGCCCCACGTTTCTGCTCAGCGCTCTACACGGAGCTGAGTTGGTCCCCCGAATGAGGCGATGATCTGATCCATTGATGGCTCTGGGCTGGTCCCGTCTGTCCCCAAGGGGTTGAGGTTGGGCTCACCGCAGGGCAGGGCCTTGGGGCTGTGGTGGCAGCCATTCCTGAAGCTCCAGGGTGTCCCGGCGTGACCTGCGGTGACCTGGGGCACTTTGGCCACCTGCGCCGGATGCTGAGAGCTGCTGGCCTCAGCAGGGCACACGAGGCAGTGACTCCCTGGGGACAGCCGGGCAGAGCTGGCCCTGGGAGGCTGAGGCCGGAGGGTCAAAAGTAAGAAAAAAGGCCAGGACCCAGGTCACCGTGCAGGACCTGGACTCCGGGGTGCTGGAGCCCGGGCGTTTCCTGAACAGAGACAGAAGCCATCCAAAGACAGCTCAGAGCTGCCCCTGGGTGCTGGGCACACGGACACCTCTGAGCGTGTTCCTGGACACCTGGGAATGCGGGCGATGTCCTGGACCTGGGGCGGCTGCACGGCTCCCCACAGCCTCTGCTCTGCACAGCCCCGAGATAAAATAAAGATCTAAGCATTTGTGACATAACTCGGCCCAGAAAAGCAGGTAGAGCAGTACGGGCCAGTGTGGCGGGTTTTAATCACGGTTTGGCAGCGATGGCTCCAAGGAGCTTCCCCTACCCTCCTTCGCTCTCTGCAACGTCCTTAGCTTTGTGGGTGGACACCCCTTCCCCTTCCCTCCATTTTCAGTATGGGATCCAGCTGTGGCTGAGACCTGAGGCTGAGCCAAGAGGGCCGCTAGCAGTGACAGTTCACACAGCGCTGGGGGACCCGGTAACGGCTCTGCTGCTCACTGGCCTGAGCACAGAGAACGCCCCCCCCCACACACACACACACGTAGGTGACATCCCTTCCTTCACGGCCCAAGGCGGCTGCTGCAGCTGTAGCCATTGCATCCACAGTCCAGGGGGTAAACAGAAGGAGGGAAAAGGCCATTGCCACTGCTTTTAATTTATTTTTCCCCCCACTATTTTTACAGAAAACACCTCAAAACTACTGCAGAACACTTTGGTCACCTCTACTTGGGCTTAAAGTTAGATATACAGCTGCAAGGGAGTCTGGGAAATTTTTTTCACCTACAGGGCTGTGCAGAGGCCCACCTGGAGTATTCCGATGGTGGAAATGGAGGGCAGGTGGCTCCGGGGAGGGCGTTTGACCCTGGTGACCGGCAGCTGGTCTCGCCGGGGACCTTGCATGCAGGGAGCTGACCACCGTCCTCTGCTCTGCCCCACAGTGTCCAACCTGCTGCAGTATCTGAGCCCCGCCGCGGTGTCCAGCAGCCCGGCACGGGCGCTGCTGCTGGTCGGCGTCGTCCTCCTGGCCTACTGGTTCCTGTCCCTGACCCTGGGCTTCACCTTCAGTTTCCTGCACCTGGTGTTCGGCCGCTTCTTCTGGGTGGTGCGCGTGGTGCTCTTCTCCATGTCCTGCATGTACATTCTGCACAAATACGAGGGCGAGCCGGAGAGCGCCGTGGTGCCCCTGTGCCTGGTGGTCGCCATCTACTTCATGACGGGACCCATGGGCTTCTACTGGCGCAGCAGCAGCCCCGGTGCACCCAGCAACCCTAACGTGGAGGAGAAGCTCGAGCACCTGGAGACCCAGGTCCGGCTGCTCAACATCCGCCTCAACAGGGTGCTGGAGACCTTGGACCGCCCCAAGGACAAATGAAGGTCAGCCAGCCGGCTGGAGCCACCCGCACCCACACGCGCGCCCAGAAAGCAGAAGAAAAAGAAGAAGCCGCCAACGCCAAACCCCAAGCGATCTTAATAAACAGCAGCCAGTGAGCCGGGCGCCTGGTGAGGGTGTTTCCAGCCGCGCGGGACCCGCAGCACCCACCCACCCTCCCTCGGGACTCCGCGCTGGCGGCGCAGTACCGCGCCACGCCACCAGGGGGCGGCCCTGGGCGGAATATTTTTTAAAGACTACAACTGTTTATGGGCTGTACAGTCAGAGTTTATCTGTGCATAGAACATAAAAAGTTAATTTTTCAAACATTTAAGTACACCTTTTGTAAGGTTTTTAAATAAAGGCAGATGGGGTCGGGTTGATTAGAGTTTTCCGTCGGGGACGAGCACACTGGTGGGCGCACTGAGGAAAGCCAGGTGGCGGGGTTGGGCCCGCGTGGCCAGGCTGTGGCTCGGTGGAGACTCAGTGAGTGAATGCTGGCACCGCTAGGCGTGGACGGTTGGTGCAGGGTGTGGTGGCGCAGGCCTGTGGTCCCAGCACTGGGGAGGCTGAGGCAGGAGGATCACCTGAGTTCAGGGTCAGCCCGAATGCCAGCAAGACCCTGGCTGAAAAAACAAAGGAAATTAAAAAATAAAGTGGACCGCTGGGCTTGGGAGGCGCAGCCAGTCTCTTGGACCCTAGAGTCCTCCGAGCCCTGGCCACTGTGGTTTGGTGTAGGGTTTGTTCTGGCTTGGGGCTTTGGCTCTCTTTGCTTTATTTTACCGTACTGGGGTTGAAGCCAGGCCCTTCCCACCGGGCCGCTTCCCCAGTCCCTTGGGTTTTTATTTTGAGGCAGAGTCTTGCTAGGTTGCCCAGGACTGGGCTTGAATTTGAGATACCCCCCCCCCTCAGCCTCCCAGGGTGCTGAGACTAAGGCCTTTGCCTTGCCCCTGGCTTGCTTTGGCGTATTTTAACCTTGGCATTTCCAGGAGGCACGTGCAGGGGCAGGACTGAGCTGTGTCTTGGGGTTTGGTGCCAAGAGCTGCCAGGGTCAGCCTTAGGTAGGTCACTGAGGAATTGAGCTGGGGTCCAGCTTCAGTGATTGCCAGCCAGGCCAGCCAGGGTGGGAAAGCCGGACCCTGGAGGGTTTGAGTGTGTGTTTCCTCTTGTTTGCTGGGGTTTTGAGGCAGGGTCTCACTGGGTGGCCCAGGCTGGCTTTGAGTGCTCAGCAATCCCCCTGCCTCAGCCTCCTGAGGGCTGGGATCACAGGGCTGTGCTACCAGGCCCGGCTGTTTTTTCCATTTTGTTAGTTGACCTAGGACCACAAAGCAGGCAGCTGGTCCCACCTGCAAACCCATTGCTGGGTGTGGTGGCCCATGCCCGTGACCCCGGCTTTTAGGAGGCTGAAGCAGGAAGTGCTGCTTCCACAACTGTCCTTGGGGGCAGCAAGCCGAGGAGGAGGCTGCGTGGTCGTGGGCTTTCTACAGAGGCTCCGGCGGGTGCTGGTCGTCTGATAGCGAGTCAGGGTGGGAGGGACCCGTTGGGGGGCCCAGCTTCTCCAGGGCCAGGTGCTGAGGGCTGCCGCGGTGTGCGGCCCCAGGCCACTGCCAGTCAGGACCCTGTGTGTCCCTCTGTCAGGACCAGCCGTGGGTTCCTCCTCTGCTGGCCTGGGGGGACTCTGTAGCCAGCGCCCCCGAGTGGTGTGGTTTGAAGCTGTCTTTGGCTGCAGCAGTGGGGAGCAGGGGGAGGTTGGGGGCTGCTCACTTCAGGAGCTTCCATTTTTAGGGTGTCCATGGGGGACTCTAATAAGAGATTTCCAGATTGGACCCACTGTGGGTTCTGTGTGACAGGTGAATCTTGTTTGTTTGAGTCAGGGTCTCACTATGCCATTCAGGCTGGCCGAGAACTCACTCTGTAGCCCAGGTTGGCCTCAATCTCGAAGGAATCCTCCTGTCTCAGCCTCCCAAGTGCTGGGATTGCAGGTGGGCACACCATGCCCCAGCAAGATGCCTTCATTGTAAGTAGCACTTCAGGATGGAACACTGTTTGAAGTTCTGGTGGAAATCCCAGATTCTGGGTTCAAATGTTTTTCTGAATGGTTTTTAATGTGTATGTTTCACTGAACCCTGAATAGTGAAGGATTCTGTCTTCTCTCATTCCACAGAAGCTCGTAGGTATCTGGCCTACCCCATCTCTTTCTTTGTTATTTTGTACGTGGAAAAATGTATTTTTGTACCATAGCCCACCTTGAAGAGCACCCTTTTCTGTCTTCAGGGCTGTATAATATTTCAGTGTAAATTATTTACCTCCTGAGGGTGACATTGTGACACTCGGGGCCAGCTCCTGCAACTAGTTAAGGACCAGTTTTTAACATCTCTTACTCAGTGTTAAAGTCCAGTGTTTTTGTCTCCGGGTCTACACTCCTTCCACCAACTGCCGGAAACAGCCCGAATAGGCCAGACACTTCCAGGCTGCCCATGGTGCCCTTGGCATCCAGAGGCCCCCGGGCCCTCTCTGTGGTCTGCATGGGGCTCAGGCTGCAGGGTGGGTGCTGGGGACCAGGAGGAAAGAGGAGGTGGCCGAGGGGATGGGACGGGGGTCACTGGGTCCTGCCCCCCTCCGGGACTTGTGTTCAGCTTGCACAGGGCCAGCGGGGGTCTAAGGACACAGGTGACACCGTACGCGTCCCTGCCCCAGTCCTGCCACCCCAGCTGATGGGTGACAGCTGCCTCGGGTGACACACAGGGACTTCTGGGGGGTTGGAGTCTGCTGACAACTCGGAAGCCAGCTTCTGCACCCCAGCCTCTCTCTTGCAGCCAGGGTCTCCCCGCTGAGCTCCACCCCCAGCCCTTTTTAGCTTCTCATTTTGAGACACTCGGGTCTGGCCGAGTGTCCCCGTCCCAGGCGTCGCCTGGTACCCTCCTGCCTCAGCCTCCCAAGTGCTGGGATCACCGGTGAGCACCGGCCCCGCCATCCCTTTAAGGCTGGGGTTTGAAGCCCAGAGGCGGAGCCCAGCTCTGCACCCCGTGTCCCTGCTGCCCTGCTGTGGACTAAGCGGGAGGACTCAGGCCCCAGGTGGGACCCGAGCGACACGGGCTGAGTCATGCGCAAAGCTCCCCTACGCGTGTCCGTCCCCGATACCAGCAGTGTGTCCCCGACTCGGCCCTTATTTTGTGTCTAGTTATAAATTTTATATAGCGGTAGATTTGACACAATCTAAAGCCATTGTGCGTAGTGGGGTGCGTGCGTGCGTGTGTGTGCGTGCGTGCGTGTGCGTGCACTTTAGCCCCGAGCGCCTAGGGAAACTGGTCCCACAAATACATAGATATAAATGTATCGGGCTTATTTTTTTTTGCAAAGTGATATATACATTCCTCCTATTTATTAAATCACTGGCTTTGGTGTTCTGTAGAGAAGTTTGTAGATTGACTTCAGAACAGAATTAAACTATTGTGAGATTATCGCTTAATAAATGTTTATTGTAATTTTGCTGTGTGGACTTCTTTTAATTTACTTATTTTTGTTTTATAGTCTATGAATTTCTCTAATCTAGGGATTTCCCCAAATTTAAACAGGTAATGGTGATTTCTATGATTTTGTTCCCCAACCTGAGGACCCTCTAGGGTTTGTTCTAGGGTTTTTTTTTTTTTTTTGAGACAGGGGTCTCACTCTAATTCAGGCTGGCCTTGAACTCACTGTATAGCCCAGTCTGGCCTGAAAGTCTCAGCAATCCTCCTGCCTCAGCATCCAGAGTGCTGGGATTACAGGTGTGCACTAGCATGCTGGCTGGCACCTTATTTTTAACCAATGTGGTTGCTCATTAAATACCGGCGTGCGCCACTGTACCCACAGCACTTAGGTCTGTTCTTCACCCCTATTATTTATACTTTGAGACAAGATCTCATGAAATTGCCCAGGCTGGGCTCAAAGTTGGGAGGAATATCCTGCCTCAGCCTCCTAGAAGTGCTAGGGTCTCAGGCTGGTCTGTTTCAAAAATGTGGTCACTAGAGGGCGCGCTATGCACAGAGGCTCTTGGGAGGTTCCTGCAGGGCCAGGGTCACAGCGGGGACCTCAGTCACAGTTGGTTAACTGCAGTGGCTGCGGACACTCGGTCCTGTGCTGTCCCCGGGAGGGTCGGGACCCGGGGACAAGTGACCCCTGTGGGCACTCGTTTGCTCTGAACTGTCCCCTGTGTCCCGGACCCTGCGGCCTCCAGTTCTTGGCCATGGTCCCCACGACCCCAGGCAGGAGAGGTCAGAGCCCTTCCGGTCCCTGGCTGCAGAGGGCTAGCTCGGTGGGCTAAGGGGAGAGGAAGGGAAGAGACCTGTGCTCGGAATGGCCGTATGGCTCCCCCTCGGCTCTGCCTCCCTGTCTTGATAGAGCTGCCCAATCGCTCCTGGGAAGGCACGGTCCCATGGGGCAGCAGCCAGATGCCTCGGGCTGCAGAGGTGTTGGGAAATTCACGCTCAGGGTCAGTCGTCTCCAGGGCACCCAGGCTTCCCCACGCCCCTAAAAGCCAGAACAAATGGCACCTAGCTTTGGAGGCGTACTTTTGTTTGGGACTTGGTGTTGTTGTATAGTCCAGGCTGGCTTCAAACACAGAGATATTCCTGTCTCAGCCTCCAGAGTTCATAGTTTGCCACCACATCTGGTTTAGCCCTACTTTTGTAAGCGTAAGTTAAAAAGATGAGGAATTGGAGGTTGAGAGATACTACCTGGAATCCTAGCACTCTGGAGGCTGAGGCAGGAGGATCTGGGAGTGAGGCCAGCCTGCGCTACATAGTGGGTTAAGACCAGCTATATAAAATAAAGTATGTGTAAGCCTCAGTGCTGCATGGGAGTCATGAATTGATCCTGTTTAGATAAGGGGTTTATGAAATTCAAGGCCACAGATTGGTGTCCAGAGAACACAACAGTCTCCTGTCTGGTCCGGGAGCCACCGGCACCAGCTCCTGTGGCTGCTCTGGGGACCCCTTGTGACAGCACCCAGCACGTACACCTGCACGCCTCCCTGGACTTGGCCTGTGGTTGGTGTTTTCCATGCCGCTGCTTCACGCTGCTCCCTATCGAAGGCTGTTGCAGACATTGGAGGCCGCCTGCACCGCTTCCTCCAGACCCAGGCGGGCTCTACGGTACCTACACCAGTGTTCGGGGTCTGTGCACTGTGCCGTAGGAGATGCTCCCGTTTCGCCCCTGTTTGGAGCCTGGTTATTTATTTTGTCTCCATCTTTTTACCAGAAAATTTGAGACCAACTTTACAGCCACTAAATGAACATGCATGCGTGGTTTTAGGGTCACATAGAAGCTTGGCTGTTTGTGTTTGTAGTGCTGAGGGTTGAACTCGGGCTTCACGCAGCGAGCTACATTCTCAGCCCCCCCCCCCCCCAAGACCAGGGTTTTGCTCCTGGCTGGCCTTGCACTTGATGACGCTCTGTCTTGGTTACTTTTCTCTCCTTGCTGGGACAAAACACCCGACACCCAGCCGGGCGTAGTGGCACACGTCTGTAATCCCAGCATTCGGGAGGCTGAGGCAGGAGGATCAATGCGAGTTGGAGAACAGCCTAGGTTATAAGGTGAGCTCAAAGCCAACCTCAACTGCACAGAGATCCTGTCGCAAAAAAGCCAAAACCAAACCAAAACAAAAAACAACCAAATCAAAACAAAAAAAATACCAAATAAACAAACTAACAAGACTAGGACACACTAGAGCGACACGACGCGGTGCTCCCTAGCAGGCCGCCCAATAGTGCCTGCAGGGCTCAGTCGTGCCTTGGGACCGGACCAGTCGGTCCTCATCCCTGGCCGGGAGCTGTCCGTGCGGCCTCTGATTAGGATCTCCGGGCACCTAATTTGTCTTACTGGTTTGTCCCTTCCTCCCGTTACTTCCCCTTTGACTCCCAGTGCATGGCTCAGACTGCGAGCTCCAGGAACGCGTCTAGATGCGTAAACGAAACAAGGACTAGCTTCCAAGCACTCCAGGCACAGACCCCGCCCTCTCCCCTGCACCAGGACTCGAGCCAGAGCTCAAGGTGAGCGCTTCCGGGTTCGCAGACGCCTGGTGCTGTGGGGCTGAATCGCTCTTGGGTCGTCAAGGTGACGGTGCCCAGCCCTCCGGGGAGAAAGGTGACGCTAGCCCATTGCCTCGCTCCCATTGGGCACGCCCTTCTCAGTATCGCCTTTCGGATTGGTTGAGGGGCGAAACCCATGCACCGGAACGTAATGCGATTGGTTGGCGCTTAGGCCCGCCCTCCACGGGTCTGAGGCTGGGCTGATGTGGGGCCAGCTCTCCAGCAGCCAATCACAGCGCGAGTAACGTGTGGCGCGTCCATGTGCCGCGGATCACTCCGCCGTCACCGCCCAGATGCGCGAGGTTCGAATCCCTGGTGGGACTGGCGGGATGGGGCAGGGCGGGGCTGAGCGGGGGCCGGGCGGGGCCGGGCGGGGCCACGCAGCTTCATTCAGCGGAATTTCCTCCTCCTGCTAAGGGCTCTGCACACAATTTCGACTCGTGCAACATTATAAGGAGTGAACTAAATTTACCTAAAAAAGTAAAAAACGACACTATTGCCGGGTGGGGTGGCACAGCCCGTGATCCTAGGTCTGGATAAGCTGAGGCAGGAGGATTACCAAATTCAAAACCAGCCCGGGGAATTTAGGGAGACCCAAAGACAGAAAGTAAACCCACCACTGGTGGCAGGCGCCTGTAATCCCAGCACTTGTGGAGGCCAAGGCAGGGGGACTGAAGTGTGCGATGTAGCCACTTTGTTTCCCTGGCTCAGGAGGAGACAGGGCTGAGGATGTATGAGGCTTGGTACAGACTTTCAGGTTTCAGTGCCTCGAAGAGCAAGAAATACACATAATTAAGACAGAAAAGCCTGGGGATGTGGCGCAGTGGCAGGTGTTTGCCAGTGGGCAGGAGGACCAGGTCTGACGCCTGAGGGCCGGAGAAAGGGCTGGGAACCAAAAAAACCAGCAAACCAATCATGACAAAAGGAAATTAAGGGCTTCCATTGCCCAAGATGTTAAAAGAAACACCCAGAGCAGACACTCCTCAACCTCATGGCCCACGGATGAGGACAACTGTGCCTGGCTGGGGGCCCCGGCAGGAAGTTTCCTGGGGACGGCACAGTGGGTGACCAGGGTGGTCTCCTGCCTTCCCCGGGGCCCGGGCTCTGCAGAGCAGGGGCCACCTGTTGCCTGATGAGCGCAGGCACCTAGAGATCACAACTCTTGGGGCTGGGTGCCTGACACCACAGCCCTGTGAACCTCGAGGGCCTCAAGCTTCCGGAAGGAGGGCTGGGTCTATGCTTCGGATACCAGGAGCACCCTTGTGACCCGATCACCCTTTGCTTTGCGAGTTCTTCCCCTAGATGCCTGGCCTGCACCCCCACCTCACTTGCCCAGCGTGGTGGTGGGGAGCTGGGCCACACACGGGCAAGGTGTGGCATGTGGGGGACAGCATTTGGTCCACTGCCTGCAGTGAAAGGAGTGTGTTGGGCTTCCTAGGCACCGTGACCAAGGTGATGGACACAGGACAGAGCCCGGGGGCGTGGTGGGGCCAAACCAAGGTGTGGGCAGTGCTGCACCCCGGGGCCTAGGGGAGTCCTCCCTCCTCCTCAGCCCCACTTCCCGCAGAGCGAGTCCTGTCTATCCCTACAGCTGCACACAGGAGGTGCAGCTCGCTGGTCTCCTGGTCTCCTGCCTGCAGCCTTTGGGCCCCTACTGCTTGTGACTGGGCCGCAGGGCTGCCCTGTGCTCTGTGACACTCTCTCCTCTTCACCGGTACCGGGAATCAAACTCACGACTGCCTGCTTGCAAGGCAGGCCCTTATGCCGCTGAGCTAAATCCCCAGCCCCTAGGCCCTGTTTTGATTCAGCTTTGTGCCTTGTGAACTCTCTGGGGCATTGGGGACGGAGTAGAAGAAACCTGGCGTGGTGGTGCATGCTTGGAATCCGGGGTTCTGTGAGGCTGAGACAGGAGGGTCACAATTTGAAGTCCAGTGTGGGTAATTTAGTGAGATTAAGTCACTAACTTGTCTCAGATTTAAAAAAAAAAAAAAAAAAAAAGGGCTGGGAGTATAGCTCAGTGCAGAGGTCTTGTGGGATTCAATTCCCAGTAGTGAAGTAAAACAAAACAAAACAAACCAAGCCCTAAAAGACTATGTGGATACAGCACGTGTGTGCTTACAAAACGGTACATGTGCACTGTGCACTCAGTTCCCAGCTTAATAAGCCAGGGCCAGGACTGGCCCTGAAACTACTTCTCTCCTTTTGTTTGGGACAAATCAGTGTGGAGTACACTCACTTAGCAGGTGCAAAGGTCCTGGGTTCGGTCCCAGTCCCTGAGAAGCCAAGTCCCACATGTAGCCTTTGGCGCTGCTAAGCGCTTTCCTCACCTCTCACTGGCATGTCCCTGGCGAGCACCTCGGCTGTGGCTTCTCTGTACTGGGCACTGGTACTCTCTGTACAGGACACTGCTCCTGCAC